TTCTATCCCCAAGCCATCCGTGCCCTAAACACACACACCCGCCCTCTCACATCATCTATAATTGACTGAGACAGGACTCTTCCAGACACTAAACCAAGGCACAATGTACATTTCAATTCCTTTAATTTTAAATATGTTTATATTGTCTATCCTGTAAAATAGTCAGATGTCTATTCATATTAATGTACAGAATTCACCTGCTTGCTGCTACTACTGCACATTCACCCAGTGTATATACTATATATATATATATATATATCTATATATCTATATATCTATATATATATATCTATTATCTATCTATATATATATATATATATATATATATATATATATATATATATATATATATATATATATATATATATATATATATATATATATTATATATATATATATATATATATATATATATATATATATATATATAATGTTCTTCCTCTACACCCCCATTTTTGCACATGTCGAGGAGCGTGTCAGGCTACATTTCACTGTGTGTTATACTTGTATAACTATGCATGTGACAAATAAAGAACCTTGAACTTGATGGCAGGACATCTAAACAGCAGGAAGAGGAGTTCAGTTGACTGAAGACTGTCTTCACTTTTTAGGTAGGGGTACCTTGCATTCATGGTGCTCTGACAAGCGACTTTGTGTGACTGTTGCTTGTTTTTCTGTGCACAGAGGTCCACAGACAGATCAGTATGGTGATAGACATTAAATTAACATAAATATTAACAATACTTTTAGGCAATTTTATTATCACCATGGTAAATAACCAGGGTCTGATGGCTTGAGCTGTTAATTCAATTTTTTAATAAGGGTTCCAGCATCATGTGGTATGATCATTTCATTAGATGCAGAAAAGGCCTTTGATCGTGTCAACTGGCTGTATTATGTTTTGCATACATTTTGTCTGGGAGACATATATATAAAAACTCTTGTACACTACCCTTTCATCATCACTAATGGCCTAAGATCAAGCAGCTTTCAACTTCTCTGCTCAACACGAAGATGTCCTTTTATACATTTCAGAAATTCTAATCGCTAGATTTAAGAAATATCAATAACTAAGATGAGTGACATGCTAAGATTGCTATACCCCCTCCAAATAATTCTTTCACTTATATCAAACAAGGCTCAAAAATTACTTAATAGTTTGTTAAGTGACTTTATATGGAACAAAAGAAAAGCAAGGTTAAAGATATCAAAACTTCAACTTCGTAGTTCAAATGGAGGTCTGGCAACCATCTCAGTTTTATAACAGAATGGATCAAAAATGACCCTCCTTTTGTATAACTGGGCCTGGAGAAGTCTGAAAACGTCAAAAAGGTCTCAAAAAGCCAGGTCTGGGAAAAAGAACTTGATTTAAACATCAGTGAAGAGGAATGTAATGTACTTTGGGACCATACAAACAAAAAAAAAAAATCTATGTGTGTATCTATGTCTTTCTTAAGATCGTTGCTATTTAAAATCCTGCATCATGTGCAAATCTCCCCAATGAAAGGCACCAGAGGAACCACCAACTTTTACCTTTATGTCTGAAGTTTACTTCAGTAGGAACCTACACACACTCTGTTTGCCAGAAAAGCCAGTCCTATTAGATACACATCTTGCAGAATATAGAAAAAAAAAACTTGGCGTGTCTTTGAAAACGGATGCTGTATCTCTGCTTTTGGGACATCTGAGTGTGAAAAATCTTGCTAATGTGAGGTTGAATAGACTTTATGATATCCTTGCACATACTGCAAGAAAAAAAAAACATTGTTATCTCTTGGATAAATGGCAAACCTCCCACTAAAACAACCTGGCACATAATTCTTGTGGAATGCTTTCCTTTGGAATGTCTGACCTGATTGCTCCATTTGTCAAAGGAAGAGTTTATAGGAATTTGGACTATGTTTCTTTTTTTCACCAACTCTTCAGTCGCATCAGTGCTCTCAAATCTCATCACTAACTGATCATGTCGGCTGCTTGTTTACAATAAAGTCACCACTGGCCATATCTGTAACTGCTTGATTGCTTGATCTTTGTTTTGACCTTGCTAAAAGTCTGAGCTATGAACTATCTGCTCTTTATTCACAGCCAAGGTTGCATTGTGTGTTGTGTTACTGTGCTATCATTCAGACATACATCAGCTGTGTCCAAATTCAGAGGCTGCATCCTCCTAAAACTGCATCTGTAGGCCGATTACGTCACAGCGGCGCGACGAAGGCTATCAAAAAATGGGAAGACTCCTCCAATTGCGGCAGACAAATGCGTCCTCCTTTTCCCCAGATTTAAAGGATGTGTTGGGTGTATCCTTAGTGGCCCAACCTATCCCAGATTTCATAGTGTGGCCCAGCCAATTCCAGTTTCCAACAATGGTGGCAGTTACTTAGTTTTAAGATTACTCTTATTACTCTTTCTGGGTCACAAAATAAACTTTTAAGATATTTTCAGGCGAGAATGTAGCTGTGTAAAATTCAAATATCTGCTCGATTTATCGAGATATCATATATCTGAATATGAAGCTGAAACACATAAATACTTGGGAATAATTCTAACTAAGAATACTTCTAATCTATCACAAGTAAATTATGGTCCCTTGTGACAGGCCATGAAATCTGATTTAGATAGGTGGAATCTGGTGCCTTTCTTAAATTTAAATTCAAGGATAACAGCAGTGAAAATGAACATACTCCCAAGACTCCTCAATTTATTTAGAACTTTGCCTGTTGAAGTAAGTCAAACACAGTTTGGGGAATGGGACAAATGGATTTCACTCTTTATTTGGCAGGGGGAAAAAAACAAGAATTAAATTTAGTATTTTACAGTTAAGCAAGGCAAAAGGTGGGGCAATGCTCCCATGTTTACAATATTACTATTATGCATCTCAGGTCACCCCCCTGCTGCAATGGTGTAACCTTAATTTGAAAGCTAAGTGGAAATTCATAGAATTCAATACAATCCCTAAATTTCAACTACAAGTCTCAATACTAAAATCTGCCTGTTTTAGTATGACTTCGCTAAGCTATGAACCCGCACCGCTTGATGGACTGTCAAGAGCATTACGGCTATCGTAGGCAGGAGCCTGGCGGAGTGATACATACTGTGCTTCAACATATTATCATCGTATTGTGTGTGTATAACCTCTTTTTAAGTTTTGTGGATATTATACATGGTTATGCTAAGGATCAGAGATGGGCAGTAACGCGTTACTTGTAACGCGTTACTGTAATCTGATTACTTTTTCAAGTAACGAGTAAAGTAAGCGATTACCCTTGCAAAAATGGTAATTAGATTACGTTACTTTCCCGTAGGAACGCTGCGTTACTGCGTTACTAAAACCGTGATTTTTTTGCAAGAATGTCTCATGACAGCGACGTAAGCAAGTGCCACGTTTGTGACAACAGCTGTGTGCAGATCAACAACGGATAATATATCGAGTGCGCAAGACAGTATGAGCGTGCAGCGTTTAAAGCGTGGAAGTACTGACCTTACTTTTAGTTTGATTCCATAAAAAGTGACAAAAACATTAGTGTCCGTTGTGCGTGGGAAGAAAACTTCTTTTTACAGCGAGAAAAACCCCCTAAACTTTCAAGTAAGCACGAGTGCGCTACAACGTAATGGGAAATTCACAGAGAAACTCGCGGATTCTTCAACTGACCGCAGCACACCGTCCACATCCAACTCATAGCACTACACCATCGTCTCACGAGACAAACGGATGCAAATAGGATGATTCCAGCGTTCAGATTTCCTACCATATGGATTTTTTGTTACTAAATTACTTCTGTTCTTATTTATGTATTAGTCATTTTTTCTAGAAGAGATGGCTTAAAAAGGTGTTATCCCTTTTTAAAAATATATCATAGCTGATCTCTCTCTCTCTCTCTATGATTACTTTTCACTCTGTTTTGTAGTGTTGTCATTCTAGTCATACCAATAATTTCACCTTCTAATGTAGTTGCACATGCAAATGGTAAATGGACTGATTTTTATATAGCGCTTTTTTTTTTACTGTCCTGGAGTACTCAAAGCGCTGTGTACAACATGCCACATTCACCCAGTACCACCCATTCTCACAAGCATTCACACACATTCATACTCCCATGGACATGGATGCACTGGAGAGCAACTTGGGGTTAGCATCTAGCCCAAGGATACTTGAAATGCAGACTGGAGGAGGGTTGGTGGATCGAACCACCAACCTTCTGATCAGTAGGTGACCTGCTCTATCATGTGCTCTACCTGCACATGATACAATCTAGTTTAGCCAAATCCTAATGATGCTTTCTTGTTAGGATTAGGATGTTGTTGCTTCAAGAAGGTCAAAGACATTTCCAAGCAAACTTACTTGGAGTCTTTTACCTGCCATATCACTTTATGGGCTATAATGCTGAACTTATAATCACAGGAGACTTTAATAAACTGATAATGAAGAAGCTTGACATAACTTCATTTGGCTCACTGGTTAAGCAGACTTAAAGAAAGGTAAACTCTTTTAACTCTGTCATTCCCATATTACTAACAGAAGTGAAAAAATTGCACTAAAGAATAATTTTCAGGTTTCTGCACTCTACTTGAGTATTTTTCTGACAACTTTTTACTTATACTCTCTACAAATATTTAACACAAATATACTTTGTTACTTTTGAGGTAACGCATTTGAGGTAAGATATTATTTTACATCACTACACACCTTCGCACATCAAGCAATCAATCAATCAATCAATCAACAATTCTATTGGGATATCAACATCGTTGCTTATCACATACAAAGGGAGGAAAGAGGGGAAAAAAAGTATGCCAAATGTATATCTTAAAAAAAACAACAGGCAGGTGATTTAAAATGCGATGTTTCTAACGTGTCATATCACGTTAACAATATCACCAACCACACAAACTGTTTGTGTGCAGTTTGTTACACAGTGAGTCTGTGTGCAAATGGCTCAGTAGCTGTATTTAGCAGGGAGAACAAAAACTTCACTCAAAGATGAACACAGATGTAAGACAGACAGGATTTAAACAGGATTTATTTATTTAAAGAAGAGGACTACTCAGTGACATTTGATAAGCTGGGAATTTAAAGCAAACGCATGTCCTCATTTTAATTTAAATTGTACCTGTATATGATATGAAGTTATGTTTTTCATATTGTGAAATGTCCTGCAAAACAAACTAAGTATACTAATTTTGTGTTATTGAAATACTTGGCAGTTTAATGCAGGATAAACAGGTTAGCTTGTTGTACTGTGATGAAACACTGTTTTTCACAGGGGAACACTGGCTGTGGTGTTCATGGTCAGTGTTAGGTTACAGCAAGTGTAGCAGAGATGAATTTGCATTTAAGCTGACAATGCTTAAACTCACTCAGTAAAGACAATATAAACAGTATTCTGTATGTGTAAGGGACGGAAAGCCAAGATAACTCATGAAAACTTGGGTTACATGTTGTTGAATTCAGTTGTGCAAATCCACAAACAGCAATAAACCTCGAAGCAGCTCCACACAGGTTAGCTGATAACAGCATGTACACAAAGAAAATCTACTATAGCTTACAATAGAAATTATTGAGTTGTAATTCTTTTCCCCATGTTGAGTCACTGCAACTGATCTTATCGTTCCCCCACCTGCTAAATTTCAAGTTAACTCCTGACTGTACTAATTTTTCTGTTTAGGTGTGGATGCAAAGTCAAAAAAGTTGGTATTCCCATATACCACTATTATATCACTGTAGAAAGAGGTTCAGTTAGCTTTGCACAAAACAGTCGTGCTTGGAAAGGTCCTTCAAAGACCTACTTTTCTTACTTTGGATATATATTTAGGAGCCTGTACTTTTTCACTCGAGTAAAGAAGTTGAATCAGTACTTTAACTTTTACTGGAGTATTTTTTACTAAAAAGTACTTGTACATCTACCTAAGTAAAGTAAAAGGTTCTTCTCACTTGAAAACCCATTTAAGCCAGCCAGCTAGCTGGCTAGCTTCGCTGACTGTCACACGGCTGTACTTTTGCCACCTCTGACCACTGATTCAGTTATTGGTAAAATTTACAAAAAAACAAGTCCCATCCAATAAAACAGAATTAGTATTTAAAATCAACATAATATTTTGATTTTGATGCAGATCATTAATTAATGCCATTGCTAATGGAGTTTTATCCTGATGTCCTTCAGTTGGAGAACAGGAGTCCATCCAAGTTTTACGGTGGGCTTACCAACAGTGTCTCTGAAGAGCAGAATCCCACAGCAGCTGGTGAATCAACAACAATCCATCATATCCTTTTCCCTTCTACAGCCAATTGTCAAAAATAAACTCTTTTTATACATAAATACAGTATTTACACACATTTGATTAATGAAAACTTGGTATTTCATTGGAATTCACTTTAATTTTACTCAACTAGCTGCCTCAGCATACTGGTGTAGACAACAGCTGGCTGTCTTCTGCTTATTAACTGGAATCACCTCTTTGTTCAGTATTGTTTCCATGGTATCTTACTATTTTTCATTTGTTCTGTAGAAAATATTAATTGTTTGTAAATCTTGTTACATACATTTGCAAGCACATTTTACACAAGGACTACCAACTGAGGTAGCAGGGGTAAACACAGATCCAGGGCTTCATCCCCACAAGAGCATCGCATCTTAATCATAAAACAACCTTTAAGGTTAATTCCTGCGTTTGTATGTACAAATCTTCTATTCTGGATTAGATTCAGTCAAACTGTAAGTCACAGGGCTGAAGGTAATGAAGACTCAGCTTCTGTCATTTTTGCTACAGTACTGATCCTTCATTAAAATAACGAGGCCTTGAGATGATGTCACATTTTTTCTGGTGAATAAAAGTTTATGAGTGGGGATGTGCACTTCCCACCTTCCACTTCCTTATGACGATGACACTCAGACTAAACTAAATCTAACAGTCATCTAACACTGTCATCCACATTTATACACTGATGCATCTTTTCACCCAATTATAAGCCCAACATGGGCCAAAAACCAACGTGTTCATGCACACATTATAGCAGCGTAACAAATAACAGAGAACATGGAAACTTAGGGAACGAATCCAACCCCGCAAAAGTCTTCCATTGATTGGATTTTTATAGAGATCATATAAGACTTGTTCTGGTGAAGATCAAAGCAGGTGCACTGGCACGACAGTCACACATCCAGCATCACAGAGCTTCTTCGACAGTGTCATATGCTTCTTGACTCTAATGCTGATGTCAGCATTATCAAATTCCTTATTCAGTCTGTAATTCTCAAACAACAGTTTGGCACGATAATATCCTGCTCAATAAAGGCTGCTCTCATTCAAATGACATAAGGTTTGCAGGTACCTGTTGAGAGAACAGAGCAGATATTTAGCACAAGTAATGGAAAAAATTACAGCAAGCAACTAGTAGGTTGAATAAAAGGGAATGTGGTATATGATGAAGAATTTCTAGACTGTGTACCCAGACAGTCCTTTAATGTTTAGTGTCTTATCCTGTGATTGGTCACTTTCAACTGTCAACAGTAAGGAACATCCATCTCTACAATGTGGTTCACAAAAATAGCCAAAATGTCTTATATGACGCTATTTTCTGAGTCCTTGATAATCCTAATGGCTGACAACTAACTTGTGAAAGTTGCTAGCACTGACGTTAACTAACTTGAATTGAATTGTAGCATTGAATTTACATTCTTTTCATAGCAACTCTAAACAACTGTATGCATCACATATACCACTCTGTAATACAAGTTAGTTTAGAGAAACAGCACTGCAAATATGTAGATGCTCCTCAGTTTACCTTGACTCACTAAAATAATTTTTTTTAAATAATTTGGCAAAACTAGGAATGCACAGTAAGTGACAGGCTGGAGACCAGAAGTGCTGAAGGTGACCAGCTAAAGGACTGAATACAAACATTTCTGTGCATCTATATGTGCAAACGTGTGTTTTTTGCTTACACTTTGAAACTAACAAACACCACATTCCTATTTGTATAGCTGTTTCAGTTCCTTTTTTTTGATTCACTAAACACAAAACAACATCATCTGTCTGATGATTCTATAAAAGATTAAGAATGAGGAACGAGGCCATGGTCCTCAGCTGGAAAAGGGCGGAGTGCACAGTACTCATTAGGGACAAGCTGCTGCCCCAAGTGGAGGAGTCTTTGAGATGTTGTTCATGAGTGAGGGAAGCAGAATATTGACACACAGATTGGGACTGTGACTTCAGTGAGGCAGATCCTGTACCAGTCTGTTGTGGCGAAGAGAATGATGACTAGGGATTGATAAGAATTTAGCAATTCCAATTACATTATTGATATCACTCTTGGCTCCACTTTGATTCATGAAAATTAATTACATGCTGCATGGTCAAATGTTTGTGCATGTTGGAGGCATTTCTTCTCTTTGTTGTGATGAGTGTTGGGGTCATTACTCAAAATTAATCATTGCACATATTACACAGAACAATTTTTCTTAAAATTAATACAGTAAGTTACTTAATTAACCCAGAAGACAGACTTTGGTTATACTACTTGTTATGTTACTTTCATTTTGCTCTGTAAAATGATCTGAAACACACAGTCTCATAATTACTATTTAACAATATAAACCTACAAGCTACAGCCCCCACACACCAGGACAAATCAGAGATGGAAACCAGCACAAAGAGACTTTACAGCACAGGTGTTGAATTCCAGACCTCGAGGGCTGCTGTGCTGCTTGTTTTCCAACTAACCTGCCCTTGTAGCTTCTTATTGGCAAAGCACACCTGATCCAGGTAATCAGCAGCAGGTAGGGCAGGGATATCTCAAAAGCAAGCAGGATGCTGGCCATCGAGGACTGGAGTTTGACACTCCTGCCTTTAAGCAACTGCCACAGTGATTCTACTTTAGAAACTTGAACCGGTAGAAACAGAGCCTGCAGCCTGACTGCTCATCAGTTTGTTACCTGTTGAAGTTCAGCAGCAGCTCACTTTATCATGGTGCTGGGCTGGAGTGAGCATTTACTCAGCTTTAATATCACTCTAGATTTTTGGCTAGCTTAATGTTAGCATGCTTCCTTTGCAGGTGCTTGCAAAGTTCCAAAATTGTGTTAACAGTATAATGCAGTTATTTCTGTCCTTGAAAAGTCTCCACTTTACCATCGCGCTTTCATCCTTTTGTGCAATAAAAATAAAAGTAATGTCCATATCCACGATGGAGACTGCGCCACTATTTTTCTCCTCTGACACACGAACTGAAATCAGCTGATTGATCCCTAGCAAAGCTGTAGTTTTATTTATTTTATTATGTCCCTACCTTCACTTATGGTCATGAGCTTTAGGTAGTGACTGAAAGAATAAGCTAGCAGATGCTAGTGGTTTAAGCAAACCTTCTCTAAAGGTTGACTGGCCTCTCAGAGACAGGATGAGGAGTTCAGTCATTTAAGAGTGGTTCAGAGTAGAGCTGCTACTCCTCAAAAATCAACAGGACCTAGTTGAGCTCAACCAGTGCTGCAAATACAACACAAAAAGGAATACGGCTTTAATAAAATAAAATGAAATTTGTTTAAATCACGTTTTAATGAAAAAGGACCGTTTAATCTGACCAAACCAGACGAGCGAGCCAAACGATATGTTGTGTGTGCTTAGCTTACCTGAGGTCTACTTTTTCTACAAGCCTCCTCTAGGTTTTTGTGCCAGATGATTGCTGAAAACCTGGACCCCGTCTGGAACTTGTAAACATTGCCTGTAAAGTGACATACATGGTCTTCATGTGAGTATCTAAAATAGTCACATGAATAAAGACAAAAAAGACAAATAAAATAGGCAAGTTTTGCTGATGGTGGGAGGCTGACCTTTTTCTGGGTCACTGAGCTGGAAGATGTTGGGTCGGGCTGGGTCATCTGGCAGTACCACCATCCAGCCAGTCACACAAACTTTTTTACAAGGCCTTGACTTGTACTGTGGCAAACACAGAGCACAAAATGAATTTATCCACTTGCCCTCACTGTACAATTCTGCACTTATCAGGGGAAAACCTTCACCTTAAATACAACTTTATGTGGCTGTGCAATACACACTTAAAGCCAAAATGTGGACATAGTTTCTCTGAAAGTGTCAAGACATTAGCAGCAGATCTTTATGTGTAGTAGTGTAGTGTGTAGTTTCCAAATGCCCCGCCATATCTTGGACAATTGTCCAATTGTCATCACTGTTCACTAAAGCGTGCCACAAGAAATTTTGACCAGTTGTCCAGTACTAACCATTTGGGTTAGATCAAAGTTCCTTACAACTTTACAGCAGAGCACAAGCTTAGTGTGTTCTAGACTAGAAAAAGACAAAAATGTGATGTGGAGAGATGAGTTCTAACTTTGAGAGTTTTGCGACACGGATTCAACACATTCCTTTCCATCATTTTTCAAATGTGTTGTTCAAAATGAGGAGAGGCTTTAGGAAAAATAAACTTCTCATTTTCAGCATTTGATGCATGACGACCAATTCATTCATTTCTTCTATGAACAGGAAAGAAAACATAATAGAATAAAGAGGCACCACTGTGCAAATTTGTAACGGAAAGCCTTATCTGCTTTCATAGGAATTAAGTAACCTATGACTACCTCTATAAAAGAATAGGAAAGACATCAGCAATTAATCTAGGAAGTGTAATAAGAACATTTCCAAACAATTTAAAGCCCATAATTCTAAAGCAACAAGGTGGAAAACACTTCAGACATTTGTCAATCTTTCCGGGAATGGACATTGCAGCAAATTTGCCTCAAGGTCCTGCTGTACAATGGAGTATATCTAAGAATATAACCAAGCTCTTATCAAGTTATTTTATTAACTCTATATTCTTGTTCAAGCTATCTTCAAGTGGAGCTATGAAGATTTTCAAGGTTTATGGTGGGAGCATTTAAAATTTTTAAAATCACTATATTATCCCATTCTCTCCTGCATGAGCAGATATAAAAAATATATAAAAATTGGAACACAAATATTTTTCTGCAAACACCACAATATAGTCATAAAATATGTCCTCAGGTACATCTGTGAACATTTTCACATCATATGACTGTAGAAATCTGAAATTATTACATCCAGTAGTCACAAAAATTTCCCTATTCACTGCTGCAGATATTGAAAATTAATAAAAAATTACAATAAACTTGGTTTGCGCAAACTCTTTATAACATTATTTTCTAATTTTAAATATTTGATATGTTTCCTATGCTCTGTTCTGAATAAAAGATGGGTTAATTAGTTAGTTTGGAAAATAATCACATTCTGTTTCTGATGACATTTTACACAGCACCCCGGGGAGTCAGACTTCCTTGTATTTTTTTTAAAAGTGGTCTTGAGCAACAGTTCTCCAGGTTTTCTGAAGGCATTTCAAGATTGTTCGTTAGGCATTGGCTGCTTTTTCACTCATTTAAAGACCAGTCCTTACTACCTGACCATTTTCAGTGGAATGATTTTTTTGTTTAATAACCCACTTACACAATCATTCGAACATAAAAACTTTGTTATTTTGTTACTAGATGGCTGTCACAAAAACACATCATTTGATCACATTGTGTTAGCTGAATCTACTAAAGTGCCACAAATAACACAGTTTGACAGGCATAGAAGCATACTTTTTCTTCAACAAGTTGCTTTTCAAAGAGCTGTTACTGAAAACTTGGCATTTGTCAGCTCAATGCAGTGTGTATTTCCAGACATGTGAAGCACAAATGAAGAAGTGACAGTTATAAAAAAAAAAAAAAAAAAAAAAAACCCTACACCACATGAACAGTGTCTGAAAGTCAAGTTCTTAAGAAATAAAAATAGTGCATCTAATTGTGAAGATCATGACAATGATACCAAACACACTGCCAATGCACTGAAAGCATACCCGGAAAGAAAAACACACAATAGAACACTAACAGAGAGCCAAACAAAAGGGCCGCCAACGTCTAGTAGTCACACTAATAATTATAATAACAATAATAATATATTTTCAGTAATAAGATCAAATTTGGAGCCTCTGTTCTAAAGAGTTTCATGTTTGCTTCACTTGCCATGATCTAGTACAACCAAATTAAGGACAAGGTTAATGTCAAATAATTCCTAATGCTTTTATTATTATTTTATCATTGTCACACTACCTGCTTTTGTCCCAAAAGCCAACTAAAATGACAAAATGATATATTGGGGCCCTTAGAAAGCATTCCATAAAAGCAGAGTATAGGCAGTTTTATTTTATGCATTATTTTATTTTACTTTGAGCTTTGACTGTACTTGAGATTATTTAGTTAGTTATGCATTTAAGAAAATGTTTTCTTTAAAAACATAAAATTTCATATGGGTTAAATACAATCAAAACATTTTTTGACAGATGTTGTATGCAGTTAAACTTAAAACCTTGCAATTTCTGAAATGCAAACCAATGAGCAGTCAGACCTGTGTTTTTTCTATTTTGAATATTTATTAGTCTTCATTAATAAGACAAAAGCATTTCTTATCCAATTACTTGATTAATCAACATAATACTCAATAACTAGGAATTGCTAATTGCAGCCCTAATTAGGTGTATTTAGTTTTTCACACACTCCTTCATTTTTCAGTTGTCTCGTTTTGTTTTTCATTTGAGCTTTTATTTAAATAAAGTTTAAACACAGTAAAGAACAGACTTTTTTGTAATTATGTGCTCATACATAAAACCTTACAACTGGAAGAGGGGGTATTTTCTTTTTCACATGACTTTAGGTGTAGACTCATGTTTCCAAGGCATCACACTTACATGCTTCCTCTCAGAGTCCCTCAGTGCTTTCGCTCCATAGAACGTCAGTGTTGATCCAGACAAAATGATCCAAAATCTGGTCCACGAGGACAACTGTTAGAGAGAAATATATAGAGAGGCTGAAAACAGCTCACTGTCAGCTCACAGTTTTTTTTTTAAGTTGCTGATATTCAGTACTAGACTGAATGCAAAATAACTCACTTAAACAACAATGAAAGTTCATGTCAATGGAAAATTGTACTTAGTAGTCAGTATAATCTTTTAATGATATAAGTTTGCATATGGTAGAATACTGCATGTAATCATTTGTGTTTAGAAGTATATAGTTGGTGGCATATTGAAAGAATGTCTCATCCTAGGAGGTCTGTAACATTCCAGGGTGTTCTGGCGTTCACCCCCACATCCTAGGAGCATGGGAGAGGTCGTACCTTGTCTTATTGTTTTACGGTAGGATTAACGTAGCTATGTCAGTTTTAGTCTAAGTGCTTTTTTACATATAGATGAACTGTTGGATTTTCCAGACCAGCAGGTTAAGGGAAGTCGTTTATGGGGCCACACTCTGACCCCACACACACACACACACACACACCACACACACACACACACACACACACACACACACACACACACACACACACACACACGTACACCTCCACATTCCAATGTAAGGAACAAACGCTCACTGAAGTATAAATAAAGACCAGGGCAGTTTCTCAGTGCGAGTCTCAGTTCTGGAGGCTGCCCTTGCTAGCAAGAAGTTCTGTGTGTTTCTCTTCTCTGATTCTCTACTGAAGAAGTGTTTTAGAGTATATCTCTTAACAGTTCACCATACCTTGGGCTTTCGTCCCTCCTTCAGCAGTGTTTTCCTTCGCAGTGGTCCTTCAATGGTCACTCTACCAGCTTCACTGCATCCATAGCAGGAGTTGGTAGCAGAGTAGCTAAGGATGTTGGGTAGTAAAGAACATTTAACACTGTAAGCAACTAAAACAGTATTCAGAGCTCAGTGAGTGAAGTTAAAGCTACCTTTAAGAGACTCTTTAAACAAAAGGAACATCCATAATTGTTTCTAAAAATAGCTGCTGGCAAACCATGAACGTCACTGTGTGGTGTTTTCCTACTTAATTTGGTAAACGGACACTTTAGAGACTTAAACAATGACCATATCACAAAATACAGTCAGTGTTTCTATAACTAGAAAATCTCTTTTTAATTAAGTGGAAAGCAAAGCAACATAATTCTAACATCCAAGCAGTCAGGAAATGAAGGGAGTTAAAACATCAAACATGTGTGTCAAATACAAATAATGACTTCATTCTCTTTTAAGACTGTAATACTAATTTCTTACTTTGTTGATTCACTGTACCTGTAAACATAGCTTCGGCTCCGGGGAGAGTTGCGAAGAGGGACCCTCCAGTTCGGGCCCAGTGTTGCATACATGCGGCCCCTGTTTGTCATAAATTATCATAGTCAGCCTTCGTGGTTGGATAGGTCAGTGCTCAACATCATCGAACCCGAAGTGTAAACCAAAGTCAACACTTTACAGTAATATATGACTAAACATGTCATATTGTCCACTCCCAGCCTCTACACAGAAAATAATCTACCTCATTTGCAAAATTGCATTTCCTCTTTTTGGAATATCTGTTAACTACAGAGAACTGCTGTTAAGCCTCATTGAAAATTTTAAAATGAATTTATCATAGCTTCAGTATAAGGACAGCAGGGTGATAAATTCTAAAGGGACTGACCAAAATACTGTTGATAATAGTCTTTTCATCTCATCTCAACCTATTAGTGGTTCTAAAACAAAGTTCTTTTTTCCCGTTAATGTGAAAATTTGTGGGGGGGAAAAAAACCTGTCATTTAAAAAAAATTCTTATTTCAAAATTGTTACAATTATAATTGTCTCTCACCTCTCCACTGCAGGTGATAGCTCCTCCCAAAAGGAACTTTCACTACTGCCTATCATAGGAAAAAAGAAAAACAAATGTAAAAGTCTAAAGATTTGGTTTTGCTAATAAATTGAATACTTGGGAATATTTTCATCACACATACCTAATGACAGGCCATTGGACACAGATGTACTGTGCGGATCATTTCTGACTGGGCTCTGAGATTCTAAGAAGCTGTCATCTAGCAGGTGTCGTGTTTTCTCTATAGGAAATGTGGCACTCCTGCTTTCTGACATGCCATACTGACACATCACACTGTGGACAGAGATCAACCATCAGACAATCAATGAAACAGAGATGCTGGTTGTACATTTTATGTGTCATGTCATGGCTCAGGTATAGAAATCCTGAACATTGATTGTAGGTAACAGAAGCATTTCATGGCCTTGAAGTTCACTTTAAATCTATCATCCTTTTTTCTGCTTGTTCTATAACTGTGAAGAAGAATAAAAGACAATATTATTTTCTGGACAAGAATTCATTCATTTAACACGGGGGTGTCGAACTCCAGGCCTCAATGGCTGGTGTCCTGCAGGTTTTAGATCTCACCCTGGGTCGACACACCTGAATCAAATGATTAGTTCATTACCAGGCCTCTGGAGAACTTCAAGAAATCTTGATGAGGTAATTTAACCATTTAAATCAGCTGTGTTGAATCAAGGACACATCTAAAACCTGCAGGACACCGGTCCTCAAGGCCTGGAGTTCGACAAGTGTGCCTAACATGTTGCATGTGTTTTCTTTCTTTTGTTCCCATCTTTCTACCATTTTATCGCGCTCTGTTGGAAACGGCCAACATTACATTAGTCCTCTATTTTTAAATAATATTTTGAATGCATGTAAAGTCTATGATATTTGTCAAATATAAACCAATATTCCATAACCAACACACCATACTACTAATTACAATAACATGAATGCATCTCAAATGGTGTAAACAGTTTATAGAAAGACAGTAAGTCTTCATTTAAGGCAGGTTATTTAATGTCCTTAATGGCTTCCTGTTGGGTAACTCTCCTTTGTTTGTCACCCCTTCATATGGAAAGAGCAGCATGGGAATTCCAAACACCAGTTAGGCAATGACAACCTTACAGAGTTATTATATTACACAGATTTTTTTTCCAAGTCAGATTCGTTTATAACTCATTACTCTGCTTTTGAGGACAATACTGATGTGTACAAAACGATCAAACAGCTGGAGAATACAGATACAGAAACAATGGGCAACCATGGATCAGTCATTGTACACTGCAGACCATGAATTGGACTATGGGACTACCTACACCCCCATAACAGTGCACTGTCCATATTACAACCATTCCTTTTCAAACCATTCCTTTCCATACCAGTCAATGAAAGCTTTTTGGAAACATTTTGGATTTATACATTATAGGCCAAGAATGACTTGGATTTTACTGCTTTTAAAAAAGCATTAGTTTGTCCTTCTATGAGCACTCATATTATTTGTATTCAGTACACTGTATTTTTCTGTGTTGCTTTCAGTGAAGTCTGTTTAATTCCCCAATAAAGGCTTGTGCTCCAAAATGTTAAACAAGAACATGCCATGAGGATGAATTATTTTAATAATATTGTTTTAATATTATTACTACTATTAAAATTGGTAATAGCTTATTCTGCTTACTTGTTTCCTAGACTGTGACTCTTCCTGTGGTGAGAGGGAGGGGGGGTGGGAATATGAACCCCCACAGACGCATCAGGGCAAGTAGGTCGTCGGTTATACCTCATAGAGGCCGATACCTCACACAGACCTGAAACATAAAAGGTCATTAATAGTACTTATGTGCAATTTACTTATGTGCAACTCTTTTTAATTGACTAAATTGGCTACTTTGGTTACTTGAAACTCATGTGTCTTATTTAATCCCATTCACATTTATTATTTCACAATGATTTTCTTCTGACAGCGCAAAAAAAAATGGTTCATGATAAATTGGTTACTGTATATCTGAATTTCTTTCTTTCACATCTTCAAAGTAGCAAACAAAAGCAGCAGTGGAACAAGTACGAGTCCTTTATTTGCCTGGTATTGAGACTTTCAGGTTATGTGCCGCTTATTGGTTACTAGTCTGTGTGAGACCTTAAATAATATATTAAGGCACAAAAACACTTCTGATATTAGAAACTAGATCAATTATTAACAATGCAGAGAATTAAGGCTTATGGAGCATTAAAGCAGGATTTTGTGAAATCACTGGCCAAAAATCAACAAAACCCATAATCATATTGTAATTCAATTAGTGTGTGAAACGAATTCACTAAAATAAAATATAGTTTATGACAGAGGACCTCTGGCCGATCACAAATCTTTTCAGACTTGAATTTAAACAGGGTTTACATTTAATGGGATGCTACAAATGAAACACATACATGCATATGCTTATTCTCATTTCAAAGGGCTTAGAAGTAAGAGTGCATTCCTTATAAATGCACATAAAAAGGTACCAAGGGCTTCCACTGGCCTGCTGGCCACACTCTGAGACCTCAGGGTGTATTAAAAAAAAAACAACTCAACACCACAGCCACTAGAGGGCACTGGTAAGGTGCAAACTGACCACATAAAAGCCTTTGTTAACATAATTAATCAGTGCAGTCATCCCGTGTAAGTGCCTACATAAATTTATCATCAGTCCAGTCACAGTTTCTGGCAGCACTGCTGATGGACTAGTAAAATGATCCACTGTTCCTATGTGCTTTCTGCGCCAGTGGAACCTCTGAGTCACTGTGCGTTCCCTCTCACTGGAAACCCACTGGGGGCCAGTCATTTTGACCATTTGGGACCCATAAGGCCAGTCTGTGTTCAGCATGTTCAGCTTTGAACACTTTAGATTTGCATGAAGTTATTTTTTTTTAAGGTTTTTTAGTATAGCAGGCTCTTTTGATCTCATATGGAGCATATAGAGCTGAACAAAAGACATACAAGCAGCTGTATATGATTGTGTCTATTGGTGGGGTTGTTGGGAAAGCAGATGCATTCCCAGTCATGATGTAATGTGGAATTTGTTGAAATCAGAATCGTTCTACCAGCAGGAGGAATAGATTTAGAGCTCTATTAGCAATCAGTATTGCAGTGCAGTAAAGGTAAATTGAAGGAATATAACACACATTAAGGCAGTTTCTTTTCCCGAAACTGGGAATAAAGTGATTTTTCCAGGAAAGAACGTTCTTAATATGGCTTAATTATCAGCTGACAAAAGCTCCTGCTGGTTTGGATTATTGTTGCTTGTTCTGGAAACATTCACACTCAGCAGAATAAGTCTAATGAAAACTCTAATTTTCATTTCTTTAATTGCCAAAAGTATTTTCTTTAATTTACCACATGATTGTAACTATTCTAAGTGAGAGTGGTTTTATTGGCGGTTAGTTTCATCAGCAAGAGGTGGCAATCATTGTGTGTTTTTCAGCCTTTTTTAAGAAATAAAACATTATCCATTGCCTCCCATACCTCACCAAAGAACAACAGTTAAGCCAAAATGATATGCTGACAAGAGTCCTTAATATATGACTGCAGCATTTCTTCATAATAAGAGTAGAATGATGTGGAGGAAAAAAAGAAAAACTGAGACACACTGTGCTGAAAAGTGCATTTTCAGAATGCGCTAGAAAATGTTGGATCTGTTTTTAGGCTATTATGAGACAGGTTAACTGGTTTAGCTCACTTTTAGATCAAATTAGATTGAGAGTGACTCAAACTAAAATGACTTTTACAATATTGAGAAGCACAAAAACACACAAAAATCAAATCTACTCTTGTTTGCTGCTTTTGTCTTTAAATAGCATTGTTTCTTGATATAAGCAGTTTTGAAGGTACTTAGCAAACATATTGTTTTAGTGCTTTTTGCCTGTTTTCGTAATCTCAGAGTAACTCCATGATGTTGAGATAAGGGTTCTGCTGCTGGAGGACTGCCTCTTCTTGTTGTTACTGAAGTTAATACATGCTGCTTATACTCTGTCTGTATGCTGTGAAGATTAAAAGATATTAGTTTTGTGTGATGAAAAGATTATAATTTAAATTAAAACCAGTCCTTTAGTTTTTCTCAGACAGCAATTCATACAAAGCAGGCCTGGCAGGTTGGCCGCAGCAGTAAAATTCTGCTGTTACCTTACAACAGTTCTTTGAACAGTCATTCCCAGTGATTGTGTGGCAAGCACACATACAGGCTTGTTTAGCTTTTTGATCTGCTGCTCAGACATTACAAAACAGATTGGATGAAATTAACCACAGTGAGGAGTCTCTGCCACGAAGAATTCAGTCACAGGCTTACAAGGACAATTATTAAAATGAGAATGGAAAATTGTAAGAGTGCTAACGTCACACAGAGCAGCAACATTTAGACAGTTTCACCTTGTCAGACACAGTGATGGTGAAACTGATCAGTTCAGTCCACCACATTTTCTCAGTCTTACACAAAGAGAGTGAGCAAACCAAATTCTTCTGTTTGGCATTGTGTGAAGTGCATGAGACTTGTTTATACTGACTGAGCCAACAAGACAGTGGACACAGCCAGAACACCCCTTTTCTGCCATGTTATGTAACTGAAAATCTTCATCAAAGCAACAAGAGGAGAGTACCATTAGCTGCTATCATGCACTTACAGTATGAGACAGCCTGCTGACAGAAAATCAGGTAATCCCTTAGTTAGCCAAAACCTTGTGTTCACCCCTATATTAGTTTTTTGTTGTTGTTTTTTTAAACTGAAACCACGCCTCCAAAATCTGGATGTCTACAACATCTTTTCCACTGGTGCCTAATCTAAAACTGCTTTAACAAAAAGGTTGCTGCTATGTTACTCTAGCACTGCACAAATAAATTGCAGGTTCTAGTTGCTCTTTTCTACTTAGCCAGCTGGATGAGAGCAGAGCATTGTAATTCAGGAGAATGCCCAGATGCCTCAGTCCCCAGCTCCTCCAGTCTACATGTCAAAGTATCTTTGGGAAAGATACTGAGCCCTGAGATGCCCCATGTATTAATTGGAGAGGGAGTGTTTCTGCGAAAGTTGTCGTCAGAATGAAGTGCTTACGTTTCAATGAAGGCTCAACTAGAGTAAAAAAGCACTAAAGAAGTACCAGTGAGTCTTGGATATCACATGAGCTTTACACCATTTCTCTTACATCCAACATGCTTACTTGGAGATTTATTTTTATTATATTCACCTGCCCAGAATTTGCAAATTAAAATGAACTAGTAGTTAAATCTGATACAAAGTACGTTTTTGCATATGAGATAAGTGCCACTGTGCATGGTTCCTGATAAATAAAAACGAAATAAAAAGCAAAAGAGCTGAGTTTCTCATGCTTCTGACTCCGTCACAATATAATTAGTGCTATTCACTTTATATGAGGTTGATTAGAATGTTTTGCCTCATCAAAGCATTTTTTTAAATTAAAACACATTACTCCAAAGCAGAGAACTTTGCATCTTTAAGTTGGCAGATTGTTTACATTAGATACCCTTTCTGACGCAACTCCAAAAGTACATGTGTCTTTGCTAGGGATCAAACAAAGATCTTTTACTTGTTAAGTAGACATGTAAACTACTACACTATGGAGCCGCCTTGAAAGAAAAACACCTATACACACAAATTTGTCCAAAGAGAGATGTCAGGTTTATTGGTGATTCTAAACAGACTGTGGATATACTTAAAGTATATAAAATACCTGTTTCCCATTCAATGAAAACAATAAGGGGGTCATTTACATTTTGAGAAAAAAACATGCGGTCACACGAGGTCTCCATACAGGTGAAACAAGCCATCCTTGAGCTGCAAATGTTTTTTGTTGAGGGTTGGGGGTGGGGAGAACATCCAAGAAATTGCTACATTAGGAATAGCAGACAGAAGAAAATAGTGGTGGATGATCACAGAATCATTACCATGGTGAAGAGAAACCCTTCACAACAGCCAATTAAGTGAACAACACTCTCCAGGAGGTAGGCGTATCTGTCCGGCAATTTGACTGATGAGTTTTGTTTTAGTGGTTACCAGGAGTCTTTCCTTTAATCTGATATAACACCTTTGGGATGATATAAATCTAGGCCTTCTCATTCAACAGCATTGTCTGACCTGCACTTCCAGAAGAATCCTAAAAAAAGTATATAAAGACATTCCTAAACCTTGTGAAAAGCATTCCCACAAGAGTTGAAGCTGTTGTTATTGCTGCAAACAGTGGGACGACACCATATTAAAGGCTATGTATGCTTTAATATGGTGTCGGCCACATACCATATGGGATGCCACTCAAATTCATATGTGTGTTTGGCAATTTAGTTTATGTTTAATAACTGAATTTCATTACATCTGTGTGTGTTTTATTGTTTGTTTGTTTGTTTCTATTTCAATCAAGCTAGCTAGCTAAACAGATTAGACTCTTAGAAAGCACTTAGAACAATGTGCTTGTGCGAATGGGTGTGAATGGGTGAATGCACAAGTTGTGTAAAACACTTTGAGTGCTCAGAAGAGTAGAAAAGTGCTATATAAGAACCAGTATCATATAGTATTTACAAGGCAACGGGTAGGAAATAACATACAATTTTTTAGGTATCTGTAGTTCAATTGAGTCTGGCTGTATGATGCTGACATCACTTCCTGGTAGAGATGGGTAGAAAATAACCCTGAATGTAGTCTTCATCATGCTACACTAATAAATGAACACCATCACTTAAATGGTAAATGTTTCTATCAGTGCAGTGCACCAAAGCACAGCATGTGACATTATGAAGTAAATGTTGGTTACACCCGCATGTAATGACTATAAACTAATACACCATTAGAGTCTAAACCACCAGGTACACGATACTGTAAAAAATGAAGGTTTAATTTACAACGGAAACAGAAAGAGGATGGCTTCTTTGTTCATGTTGTTAGCTGCTGATAGCTTTCACTTGGTTACTGAAATGGTGAAAATATGAACAGTAGGAGTACCTGTGGGAACTACAGTGCTACAGAAAAGCATATGTGTGTGCCTGTGTGTGTGCGTGATCTGTTTCACCACAGGAACAGTTGTGTTTATCTCTGATTATTCTTTTTAACACACCCATTTTTTTTTTCTGTTTTTAGTGTAAAGTAAATGTTCATACTGATGCTAAATGCTAGTGTTCATTTCAATTCAGTTCAATTCAGAATTGAATTATCAGAGCCCAGGTAAATTTAGATAGCACCAAATCAAAACAACTGTCATCAGGGCACTTCACATAGTGTACTTTACATATACTTTTTATGAAAACTCAATGGTCATGAACATGCAGCAGAGTTATTATAGTTTTTATTTTTCTAATTAGGTTTTATTTTTATTTCCTTTTTCCATTTCAGGTTTTTGGATTTTCTTATTTCAGTTTAGTTTTTATTGTTCTAAAATGTTTCGTTTTACTTTAGTTTTCATTAGTTTCACAGTTATATCTTTTAAATTTATTACTGCATGGAGGGCTTGGAAAATTAGCACAGGTATTACAATAAACACACAATAAACGTGTCTATCAACGAGTCATCAGGCAAGTTGCAATTCTTTTTTTAACCAAACTAATAGATACTAAAAACAAAGCAAATTTCCTCCACAAAAATCAGTTCAGTTACTTTAAAAAAAATTTTAAGTCTAGTTTTTATTTTTATTTCAGTTAACTAAAATGTTTTTTCACATTTAGTTGAACTTTTTAGTTCAGTTTCAGGTAACTATAATAACCTCTCCTTGCAGACTTGACAGAAAAAGCTAATAATTTATGTTTTGAGTACAACTTGGTGGAAGTGGTGGATATCTGCAGGGCTTTTTATCAGTGCAGTTCAACCATGTGTGACTTACCTGCCAGGTCTTCTTTAGAAGAAGCAATGCGAGGGGAACTGTTGCCAGGTTCAATCTTTAGAGAAAGCCTGTAACACAAATGTTTCCATTAGATAAAAGAGCTCAGTGCTGTTGTGTTTGTCAGTTAAAAGGTAGTTTCAGATTTTACTAAACACACTAAACATTACGCAACTGAGTAAGGCGATGTCACATTATCTGCTGATGAAGAAAATTCTTTTAATTAACATTGTGTTACTTCTACATAGAAGCCGTCTCACTCACACTTTCTTTTATATCTCAAGTCTTAGGTCAAGCAGTTACGTCGCCCATAATACTCGCAAAATATCAATCACTTTCTTTGGTCTCTGTTTGCCACATCACCACAAATTTCTTACAGCATATGCAGTTTTACTGGGGCTGAGACAGACAGCATTAAGCAACATTTTTTTAAATGTAAAAATGAGGAAAGATAGATTTACTGCTGCCACTCCTCATTTTTTAACATAGTCTAAACATATACTTAGTCTGGATAGGATTACCTTGGCCAGCAGTAATATTGTTAGGAGGCTTGGACTAGTTTTTGACCTGGATATGTCCTGTGCATATTAAACAAATATGTAGGACTGTCTTTTTTGATAAAGTATATAGTTAAGATTGGATCTGGTGACCCTGAATCCTCCTGAATCCTTATTTATGCTGCTATAGGCCTAGACTGCTGGGGGCGTCCCATGATGCACTGTTTCTTGTTCACTCAGCTTTTTCACTCACTATGTGCTTATAAACAACTCAGTATTTAATCATTAGTTATTATTCATGTCTTTTTAATGAAAAACACAAGCCTTGTAATTAGAGATGGACCGATCCGATATTACGTATCGTATCGGTCCGATACTGACGTAAATTACTGGATCGGATATCGGAGAGAAATAAAAAATGTAATCCGATCCATTAAATATCAAAAAAAGCACCTCACAAAACTTGCAACACGGCGTAACTCAGCTCTGAGCAGTATGCATCACGTGATAGAGCGGCTGTGTGTATTTGTAGCCTCGCTACCAAACCGAGCATTTCATCTCCGAGGAAGTTATCCCAGAGAGAAGTAAAGCAAGTGTGTAAGTTCATCTCTGAATGTTTGTAAAGCATTCCCACGTTAAGCTTAACAACCGATATATGGAGCGACTGCCTCTCTCTCCTCCCTCCTGCTGCTACTTCAATCATGAAACTGATTAATGATCAGCTGATCGGCTTTTCTGTCGAGTCCGTCTCTCTTTTTGTTTTTGGCCCACTTTGCACCAGAAAGAGGAAACCAGCGGCTGAACAACAGCAGCACGTTTAAGCTTGATAAGCTGTTGTTAGAATTTATTTAATATTACTTTCTACACCAGGATCTTTTTCTACAGCTGACGGCTGGTAACTGTGCAGGGGCGGATCTAGCAAAGTTTAGCCAGGGGGGCCGATAGGGCATAACAGGGAAAAGGGGGCACAAAGACATACTTTTCTTTCTTATTCTCATTTAAAATGTCTAGCTTTTAATAAATAATTATCTGAATCTTACACCCAAAGTTTTAATCTGATGTAAAATGTATAGAAGTCCATTACTGTATATAGTAACTGTTAAGTCTAATATACCCTAGTAAGCTATAGTACTTTTTCCTTTGGGAAGATACCATCTGTGCAGTCTGCAGTTCTGTTGAAGAAAGATGTTGAATCTATTTAATTATTCTTGAAAAATAATTTATTTCTGTGCATTTTTCCACACTGCATCAAATTAAAGTTGATTACGTCGATTAAGCATCATGAGGTGGGGGGTGGTTCCCTATTTTTTTTGCTGGGAGTTTGCAACCCTATTAGTTAGGTTGCTTAATATTTCTGCTAAGTACTCTTTAAAATACCAGAATAGGAAGGATGGAGCAGGTTTAAGTTTATTAGATTGATCAGTATTGCTGAACTATGAAATATTTTGGGTGCAGTGTATTTTTTACATACAGGTATAACAGAATAGCTTTAGTGTTGTTGTTTATTTAAACTTGAGTATGAACTTATACAAAATGCAGCAAGATATTAAAAAAACAGTTTTATTGATTAAAAAACACTATATCGGATTCATATCGGTATCGGCCGATATCCAAATTTATGATATCGGTATCGGACATAAAAAAGTGGTATCGTGCCATCTCTACTTGTAATGCCCCAAAAGGTTGAAGTCTTGTCTTTGTCTGCCAGTAACTGAACGTTTCTTTTTAGACCAGTCTTATTTTGATCTGCCTTTTGCTGCTGGATTTAATATGCAGTATACAATACTATGCAGTATTGTAATTTCTTTGGAAATACGGATTAAAACTTTAATATTAAATTCATGCCATAAAATGCCTTGATAAGATGTAGGGAAGAGGACACAATCAGCCTTAGATTAGCCTCCTCAGAGATTGGACCTTAGTATTATTGAAACAGTTCCATTCAGCCAACAGCCAAAGAAAAGGTTTGGAATGTTCTTTAAAAGCCCGGAAAACTATTCCTGAAGACTACTTAAAGAAATTACAAAAAAGATTGCCTTAAAGAGTTAAAGCTGTTTTGAACAATAAAGATGGCAATACCAAATACTGACTTTAAAGTTCATGAGAAATATACAAACTGTTTTTGCGTTATATGCTGCATTTACATGCATGTTCACATGTTTCCATTAATCAGTGCGCCTACTGAACACTTTCCTAGCATAACAAAGAAATGACTGGTAGATCACTGTATCTTTCACTGTGTCTCGCTACAACTACTAGCAGCAAACCTTTACAACACAACGATTACCAATTATATTATGGAGGCTTTACATTTATTAACTTTTTTGAGAGCCAAGAAAAGACATGTCACGTGTTCCTGCCCAGTTTGCCACTAAATAACCGTCTATGACCTATGAGTCAACTTTATTGAATAAGATGCATCTTCTGTACATGCAAGCTCATCCTACACAGGGTGGTTTTTGGGTGTCTTAGTACTTGTTCAGGAAATCTCACCCAGGTGAATTTGTTTCAATCATGAACATCTTGAGAGTTTAAAAAGCAAGTTACTGGACTTTAAAAAATTTTTGTACATTTTTCACCTTACATTCAAGAGCCTTCTTCAGGTATTTATTTCTGAGTTGTCTCTTAGGAGGTAGTCACTGACCCACTATTAATCACATGCCTCATCAAATGAGCCAAGCTGGAGAAGGCGAGAGATGGGGTACACACAAGGCTAACACAGAGAGACAGAAAACCATTCACATTCAACACGGACAACTATGGGCAATTTATAATCATCAATTAATATAACCACACAAACTGCATGTATTTGGACTACAGGAGGAAGCCAAGAGAACATGCACACCCCAGACAGAAAGGCTCTGGCCAGATGGTGGATTCAAAACCAGGGCTTTCTTGTTTGATGCGTCAGTGCTAACCACTGCCCCACTGTGCTGCACCAGCCCAATCTTGTTAGAAACAAAATTATTATACAAAACCAAAAACTATCATGGTCAAAATAGACCTCCTGATACTAATAGCGGATTTGTCTATTTTGTTTTGCTGAAGTCATTTGTTATAGTTTTCAAGAAACCTCACATGTCTCCCAAGCAATCCCAGCTGTTCTTCTTTGGTGAATCTGTGGATCTTGGTCTTCTGTTCACCCTACAGATTTCCAATGGGACTGAAGTCATGTTTTTGTGCACACCAGTCAATAACATTCACTTTGGTGATGGAGTTATTTCTTTAGCAGAAGCGACACATGTTTTGGGTTGTCAACCCAGACCCAGGTTTGCTGCAAATACTTGAGAGTTTCTTTCAGAATTGTCACATAGCCTTCTTTCTTCAAGATTCCTTCCACCTTGACACACTCACCTCTCTATAGTTCTCTCACACATGCACAGTCTGCTAAAACTCAGAACAAAGAGTTGTAGCCATATTCATTAAGAGAAAGATAAACTTCACTATTCAATTTTATTTATATAGCGTTGTTGCTGTCACAACAACAGCCGTCTCAAGGTACTAAGGTACTCATAATAGGGGGAGACTTCAACCAGCCATTTAATCCAAAAAAAATTATAGGCTCAGTACAGGACTAGCTCAAAGGAACTGCAGGCTACAGACATTCTTAAACAATGAATTATTCTGGTCTTTGCAATGCTCTGCATTCATATGTCCCTACAGGGACTGTCTATCTTTTCACTAGGACACCACTCACATTCTCACTTAGGCTACTTTTATATTAAAGCAAAAATTTCTGGCACAACTTTTAACCTACTCCCAAGGTGCGTGAAGAGGATGAAAAAGTCACAATCTTGCAACACTTGAAGGGAAGAGGAACAACTTTATTGCCTGATGAAGGCCACAAGCCGAAACCCGTCGGTCAGGCAATAAAGTTGTTCCTCTTCCCTACTTTTATATTAAAGACACTCAGATTCATCCTATCACTATCAGTGATCATTCACCAGTGTCTGTCTCTGTGACAAAGAAAAGAGTCACACATATTAAGATGGTCCTTGTTGTCCTAAGACATTTACTGCTTTTTCTCTAATTACACTTAATAGCTTAACTACATTAATAGGCTAGATGCTCCTTAGAGATATTACCTCCATCAGTGCTATCTGGACTCTCACCAGGATTGGTCCATCATTGCTATTATTAACAGCTAACTGAGGCAAGGCTGCATTCAATCTACTTTAAACATACCAAGGTAACATCTTTACTAGAGCAAATCTAATCTTGATGCCAGCTCTATATGGCATTTTTTTTGCCTATTTCAAAATTGCCATTTTTCGAATAATTTGCTAACAAAATTGCAGAAGTCAGTTAGCATGTAAAATCTGTCACGTTCCTGTTTCTTTCCGTTAAGGAATATTTCCTAATTGTGACATATAGTCTCCTCAGCTGAACTCAAGCAAATATTCAAAGAATTTGTGACATCACACTTATATTACTGTAATGGCCTGTTTACTGGCTTGAACAAATCATGTCTTTCACATCTCCAAACTATACAAAATGAAATGGCCCGACTATTAACACAAGTTCACATCACTCATTTTATGCTTTTTACATTGGCTCCCCATACATTTTAGGATTAGTTTAAAAATACTAAATGACCAGACTCCAGATTATTTATCAGAGTTTCTAACAAAATAAACAGATACTTGCCATCTTCATTCCCAAACTTAATTTCACAATCCCATGCCATTCACATTGAAAACACTTACTTGAAGTTATCATCCTCTACAAACTTCTGGAGTTCCTCTATGTAGCGAACTGACAACAGATACTTCTGAACATGCGGCAGGGTCACCAAGTGATCTAATGGAAAAAAGAAAAAGCAAATTACCTTCAACACAACTCTTGGTAGAGAATTAACTTTAAATAAAGTTACTTCTCTTGTCTATGTTCTCCTTCAGTACATCCATGAATTTTCTCAGTGGTCTTTCTCTTTTCCTCTTGACTGGTAGTTCCAGTTTTAGCATCCTTTATCCAATATATCCACTATTCCTCTTCTGCACCACCCAAACAATTTTAAGCCTTAGCTCTCTAACTTTTGGAACGGTCCCGAGTAAGTTGGAGGTCAGAAATTCAGAGTTTCCAGTCAGAAAATGTTTGTGGAAAGCCTCCTTTCCCACTCAGAAACTCAGAGCAGAGTTAACAATCCAACATGGCAGTACTGAACATAAACCGTAGTAAAACTATAAACTATATAACTTTTTCAGTCATATTATTACCTGTATACTTCTCATCCACCCACGTGTAATCTATCTTTCATTTCTCTTCTCTTATACTTTCACCTCTCTAGGCTCTCTACCATCCATCTGCTCCCTATTCTCACTTTAGATAATAATGTCGTCTGTAAATATCATAGTCAATAGAGACTCCTGCCTGACCTTATCTGCCAACCCGTTCACCACTACTGCAAACAAGAAGGGGCTTAGAGTTGATTCTTAATGCAGTCCACCTTGTTTCCATCAATGACTCCTACTGCACACCTTATCACTGTCTGGCAGTCCTCATACATGTACTGCACCAGCCTTTCTCTAGATCCACAAAGACACAGTGCAACTTCTTTTGATCTTCACTATACTTCTCAACAGTATCAAAACAAACATCAAAACAAGCAGTATGAAGCCATACTGCTGCTCACACCTCACACTTCCACCTTCTCAACATAAGCTACAAGTGTCAGAACATTTACATTTCTATCTTTCATCACACTAATCTGCGCACACTCTTTTGAGCTCAATCTGTCTTTCTAACCAACTGTCTGCATTCCATGTAGGTTATCCTTCCCTAGTGTCTAGCTATGCGTGCAACTAATTATAAGCCTTTTCCTTTGCTTTTGCCACCGCTATCTTGGCCTTGCACCTCGACTCCTGGTAGTCCTATATACTTTCTTCATCACCTTGACAGACATTTTTACTTTGGACTTGCATTTACGCCTGTGTAAATGCACAGCAAAACATAGAAGTACATTTTTTATCTGGACAACAATATTTTATATAACGCTAGCACTCAATAACGCACAAGGATGACAGCAAAGCAATTACAGAATCAACCCACTGATTTACCATCTATAGAAGACTAGGAACTTATTTTGTCAGTTTAAAATTATCTGAATTATATGTATTAATATAATATTTTTTAAAAATAATTTTTCATCATGTTTATTAAATTTCACCGGTTTAGCACAGTGTGTGAGCAGGTGATCACATGCCACATGGCCAAAGAGCAGGAGTCGGGGTTTGAGTCTGACCCGTGGCCCTTTGCTGCATGTCTTCGCCTCTCACCTCCCTGCTTCCTGTCCTCTTCAATGTTATTATCCAATAAAGGCAAATTTATAAAATTTGAGTCTCTGTTTTTATACTTAATATTAATTACTCTGCTTAAAATTGCTTACAGTACAATGCCTGTCTTCTTTCCTGTAAAAATACTCATGATTTCAAATCAATTACTTGTAATTACATTTTATTACACAGTAGTTACTTACCCCTAGTAGCTGAGCGTATTATAGTGTTGCCCATTTTTTTGCAGTGACATTTTAAAAATAACATTAAAATGTAGGTACAGCAAGCCAAGCTTATTTTTGGGAACAGAAATGATAAAACACAAAAGTGACTTCCCTGAAACAAAAGCTTTACAATGACTCACTCATTTATTCAATGATTCCCCCGCTTAGAGTTACAATTTGAGTAATTCTAACTTTTAGTCACTTGCAGATAGTGAAAGGTAAACATATTTAAACTAATTAAGATCTCCAGATTTTTTCAATAAAGCATTTAAAAGGCTTCAGAATAGTAATAGAGGATTTATATTTATTGCAGAAATTCACCCCTACTCGCCCCTCCGTCTGGGGCAACATTTCATGCAGGTATCTTGAACATTTTTATTACTCAGCAGCTCCCCACACAAAGCACACTGGAAACACCACATGCTAGCCAAAACAATTAAGGACTTGAATAAACTTAGTTCGACTGGCAGACACTTGAAAATTTTCCTGAACTCGTCAGTGAAAGTAACTTAAGCAAAGCAGAGCAATAAAGGCTCGGGTAACTAAAGCAGAGCCAAGCCATTAGAACTTTATACAAAAACCCAAACTTACATATAAAAGCTAAAAAGACCATATTTCTTTAGCATCCTGCAGTGGTGATCTACTTGGGTTATTATGAACACATACATATTTTGGCTTCATCCATATTAAAGATTTATGACATACAGGGCTGTGAAAAATGTTTAGGTTTTTTCATATTTGTCACATGTTTCAGATCAAACAATTTAAATATTAAACAAAATTAAGCTTTGTAAATACAAAGTGCTGTTTTAAAACTAAATGCTTTTTTTTTTTATTAAGGAATTACATTTTCACAGTAGTGTACAACCATAACTCTGATGTCAGAAGATCATCAATATATACATGATTAGGAAACAGACACTATACTGTTCCTACTGCAACTACTGATGTAATTGTGTCTTACCATAGTTACATGACATCTGCAGGTCTGAAATAACTCTCAGAAGATTGTTCATCTGATTTGTCCTCTGCTCTGTCTCTATGATGCTGTCTGATGCAGGATAAGCCGAGTCAATGTAGATAATGTCCAACAGGTAGATCCCTGTAGAAGGCACAAAAAAGCTAGTTAAACTCTTCTAACAACAGGAATAATGATGGGTTTGAAAGCATACCCAGTGATTTCAACAGAAGAATTTATTACTTCAATGAAAGCTTTAATGTGTGGAAGCATCAGTGTTTTCTGTATTTGGTTCTTTTTAGTCTTTCTCACAATGTCTCATAATGTCAGCGAGAGATATTGTGAGAGCTAGAGGAGCTGCCAGAAGATTTCCCCTGGAAGTCATTAACACAAATGTGTTATATGGAAACACTGATAAACACTGTTAATCTTGTTCACTACAGATTCTAGTGAAAATGGGCATTAGGCTTTTATTGGTCATTGCAATGTTTTTACTCATTTATAAAGGATGTGGACATATTATTTACAACTGGAATACATGAATTATTTTGTGGATTTTGGTTATGAATAGTGGACTTTAGTAGCTGTAAACCTCAGGAGAATAATATAATTACTAAAATTTAAGAAAAACTGTAGTAAAAGCAATTTAAATAATCACATCAGCTCTGTCACAAGTGATCTGGAAAACAGCTGCTGAGTCACCAACTTTCCAACAATTTATTTTAACTTCTCAAGTGTTACTAAATAGTGGGGTGGAAACATACCCTGAGCATGAACAGAAACTCCCTTATCCTGCAGTGTACTTTAGAAAAATAACTACGCATACAATAATGTAGAACATTTTCTGCACTTTATATTTAACTTTATATCCACATAATATGATCAAAAAGGTGTCTGATCTAAATTCATTCTGCAATGTCTCCAGACATCCAGAGAAAGTCACAAAAAACTATCTTCAATTAAAGAAGAAGAACAATAACTGCTGGTACAACCTTCATCCGAGAAAAACTGTGTACAAGTGTACACAGAAGTACTGGTGTTGTGTTAAAGTGCCTGCAATATTTGTGCAGCTTTGTGTTTGTATAATGTACAATATGTAATCTGCAGACCAGGGACTAATAGATGGAAACTGTATAAAGATATTGTTCTATAAACAGTGAGATGCTTTTTGGTCAAGCGATTATGGTGAAAATATCAAACAAACACATTACCTTTTCAAAGAGGTATATGTTCAGTTATTTAGCTAATACTTCCTTCTGTAGCTGATAAAACCTGAGTTCAAAGACTGTATTAAGGTTACATCCATAGAGCATGCCAAACCACCACGGTAAACAGCAAAAAAACCCACGTTTTTATTAAGTAAAAGCAACAGCACAGTGGCATAGTGGTTGGAAATTTACCCCATGTAGATACCTTTCTGTTTCCCTCTCAATTATTATTCAGTGTACACAAAAAAAAAATGATAAATAGCCATGGCCACATTCCATTCCACTGTAGTGTCCTATACTCATGACCCAAGTGTTCCATGCACAGTTACATAAATCAGTGTCAGCTGTTAGGCCACAAATATGGTTTTGTTTTTCCAAACATGCAAGCCAAGGTCAGCTTTAATTCAGTACAGAAGGAAGTGATAATGTGCTAAACTTGTATGCTAACTGCCAACCATACTAAATACAACAGTACTAAAGAAAGTTCACAGTAACATTTTATTATGTGATCCTAATAAATGGTAAACTGGTTGTTGAATAAATTTTAGTGAGTATAGAAATCAGAGGCAAAGTCATCGTCTAGCCTGTAAAATATTAGGAAGATTTGGGGGTTTAAATAGCTTCCTTCAAGTCTTGTATAATTAGGCAACAAACTTAGCACTGGTTTAAAAGACATAAACAAAGAAAACCTTCCTCTACTTATTCAGAAAAGTGAGAGCGCCTTACAAAGTTGGGCCAATTTAGGGCTCTCTCTGTTGGGTAAAATGACATATAGGATCATTCATAGGAGGTACTGGACTCCCCATAAGATTGCAAAGTTAAAACTGAGGGAATCAGATATGTGCTGGGGTGTGACAAGAGTAGAGACACACTAATACACATGCTATACGAATACCAAAAGAAATAGAATCTATGGAAAAATAATTATTGTTTCTCACTGAAATACTCGGAATACAGCCATTACAGATCCCAGTACTCTAGATATTAGGTATAGTAACAGACGACCTGAAGTTACTATTCCTTCCACCCCTGAAGTTATCATAACTGATAGTCACATAATATCCCATAAAGTGATACAGGATATGATGTGATGCTGCTGAAACAAAGGGGCGTTGCTGGCATGTGATGCCATGAAATGTTGATGCCTACTTTGTATATGAAAATATATAAATATACATAAATGTACCTTTTTTTTCTTCTGTTATCAGCTCGTTGTTAGTTGAGTGGTTTGTAGTTTTTTTCCTTTTTTTGTGTGCATCTATGTAAATATTGTTGCTATTACATGTCACCATCTTCTCAACTCCACATTTGCTCAACTAGTCTACATGTGGTTACGGGACTTGGAGAAGGTATTCCGCTGCGTCCCTTTGTCCTGTAGGGGTACTTTCAGAGTGTAGGGTAGTGGGCCTGTTGTTGCAGGCTACTAAAATGGATGAGGAAGAACTATTATTAACAATTACACACCAAGTAGACAAGATGTGTGCACATGGAAGAGGATCATGGAATCTACTGGAAATACTGAGTAACACCTCAGGCAGTGTTTTAGCATTTTATCTCCTCATGTAATGACGAAAGAAATTAATAGAATGAAGCCTCAGTACTGGCTCTGAATCCTTTGCAGCTCATATCAGTGTTGGATGGAACAATCAAAAGTAGTAACTTCTTCAAGGACACGAAGAAGACAAATACAAGTCCAAACAAGAATATAATGGGTTAAAAACAATTCTCTGGGTTTCTATTTTTCTTAGTGCTACAGCCTAACCCCACTGAGATGCACTGGCTCTACATGATATCAGCTGTTCTGACAGTTCAACTGTTAATATTACAGCTGCACAAAACAACCAAAACGATTAACAAATATTTGCCTATGATGTCATACTGATAGTAGAGTTTAATGCGTTTCAGCTGTGCTCAGTCTAAAAAAGCTGTGCAGCCCTGTTTCCTGTCTCACAGCAAAGCCTAGTCAAAGCATCCAGCACTCATTGGCGAATTCAAACACATTGAGTCAGTAGTTGGGCAGCTGCCACTCAGGATATAATGCTACTGTTCATAACAGATGAAGCCAATTTAAATTCAGGAAGTTGTTTTTAATGATTACATTATTTTACTACATTTCTTTGTCATGTCCATATTTGTTACCTTTCTTCAAGATAAATGTAGTGTTAAAAGCAAAAAATGTAAAATAATAATAGGAATAATATTGCTGTTGTACCATAATGCCTCTTAGGATCTTTGCTGTCATTCTCAAACAGGACTCCACCTCCACAATGAGAAATGTTACAGCTGAAGATGCAATTCTGATACAAAGCCACTGAGAATGTCCCTGTAAAGATTTGGAAATAAACAAAAAGCACAATCAAAAGCTTCTAGAGTTTCACCAAATTAAATAAAAAACATCTCAATCAGATGTCTCTGAGGGAAAGATAAAAGTATGTCTTACAGCACAAGTTTGTGACAATGTTGTGCAATTAAAAAAATCACTGAGTCACTGACTATTTGTTGAAAGTTTCTCACATGTTATGCAACCAGTAATTACTATGACAACATAACAAACTGTATCCAGACGCTTCCACCTCTCCTCCAGGCAAATTGTTTGAATGGACAGTCACTGCTTGGTTTTACAGATATCCCCCATTTAAAGACAGAAGGACAGAATACACTATTTTTGAAGGAGCTCTTGAAGGTTTACTATCATCTCACTCTGTGTTCTCCCTGTGCCTGCGAGGGCTTCTGCCCACAGTCCAAAGACATGCATGTTAAGTTGAATTGTTATTTGTGAATGATCTCCCAGTGAGATGGAATTCCACAATCACTGGAGAACAGTGGAAAAAGGGATGACAGCGGGGCTTGCTGAGGATAAGGAATTAAAGGGTTTTTGGAGCCTGTCTCGTGTCCCGATGATGTTTTTGCTGCAAAGGGGAGGGGAAGGAGGAGTCGCTATGCCTCACAGCTTAATTACTCCAAGCAACACTGTCTTCCTTCCATTACATATGAGACACGAAGTAGGAAGAGAAACAGATTTTGTCTGCAGAGCAGGCACGAACTTTGAGTTTGAGACTCATCCCTTCACTGCAACACATGAAATTAGAAAGGAAGGCTTTGTTGCCGCTGTACAGATCATCACATCACCACAAGTGGACCACTGTGTTTGTGAACTTTAAATCTGATTCTGACAGAAGGTAAGAAATGATATGAAGAACTTCTACTGAATAACAGAGGAAACGTGAATGACTTCTGAGGAGCTGGAGTCAAATCTTAAACAAAAGCAAGAGAGAAAGAGACATAAACAAGTGGAAGTAAGTCAGGAAATTCTCTCAATTTTCATTTTATATGCAACACACACTGAATAAGTGGCTCAACCTTATTTTACACTTAACACAGAGTTTACTTTCCCTTCTGCCTTTTTATTAACTATATGTATATTAAAGTTATTTCCTGCTTTATTTAAAAATAATGCATTACTTCAACTCTAATACATCTCTAAAAAGTAGAGATGTTACACAGTTCATGACATTACTTTGCATTACTCTATAATGTTTGTTTGAAATGCTTTGTCACATAACTGTTGGTTCACATTCCATATACTCCTGAGAACTGAAGATAAAACTCTTTCAGTTTAACTGTTTTGTGATTTGTGCATCCACTACAGAGGGCATAAAAGAATATGCTGGGTCTCAGGCGCATATGATCACATGTGGAAAAATATTTAATAAAGGCTTGCTTTGCAGAAAGTGTGTGCAATCACTTCACATTGTGGTTCAGAGAGCCTGGAAGTCATTCAGCTTTTATACTAAAGAATTATCTTGAACCTCAAGCATTTAACTCAGACTTTCAATCCATGAACTGCCTTTAAAAATGTTTGTGTTAAATATTATAAGAAGCACTCCAAGAGCCAAGACAATTCATTCTCTGTGCTGGTTTTTACTTATAATAGTATTAAATTATTTATTACTATTAAATTATTGTTAATATTTCGTTTATTTTATTTCTTCTTTTTAACACAATTTGAGGCGTTTAAGATGTTGCAGTAAATACAGGTTCAAAATGCAGACTTTTGCTATTTGTCCTGTTTAAACCGACTTTAATATACTTGACATCATTTTGAGTACTTTTTTTCATTTTTATGTGAACAAAGTACAGGTGCAGAATTCATTTCATTGTTCAGTAAAATTTGCTTAGTGTTAAATTTCAAGTGAAAAAGTTTGTTCCTCATGAGTGCCTTAAACAATACTGATAATATGTGACAAGCTGTGCAAGCTATAGGCTGTAGCTTCACACTGGATGGCTGAATCCCCAAGGTTTTGAATGCCTTTAACTATCCTGATAATGTCTATTTGTGACGTCTATAAGGGTATAATGTTTATGACGATGACTTTAATTACACAAAGATTATGTAGAAGAAGATAATGAATAATAAATATTGACTTGTAAATAACTGGAAACAAATAACTTTAGCTTATTATATATACTACAGTATAATTAATAAATTTATATAAAACTAACTGGGCAGCTCATTTTCTTGCTCCTGACAATACTTGCTTTAAAGATATAACATACTTTGAGGTCAAAAAGAAAGGCGCATGTGAAATACAAAGCTCAAATGTAAAGCTTCATTGGCATGCAAGTTGTGTTTTGTGCAGACAACATTGATCCAACTCTGGTTAGGTGTTTTCCACGATTAGCAACTCACAGGTCAGTGTTAAGCGGCCTAACAAACACAATAAAATAAAACAAAATAGCCCCATCTCTTAAAATGGTCAGGTACAAGTACTGGGTTGAATGACAGAGGAAGCTGCCTCGCAAAACCTAATAACTCCAAAAGAGTTTTTATATTATGCTTGTAGCCAGACAGAGTGCAAAAACTATACAGCAATAAATTTATGACCACTCACATGTTGAACTTACTTGAGGTCAACTTGGCCAAGTAAAGGTACTTATGGCCTCTGTTGTATGGGGAAAAAAACAGCTCACCAATGTCAGAACTGACCTGGCTGAGGCGACATTTAAAAAAAGAAAAATGAAAAAGATAGATGATGTAGCAACTACCATATCCTAAAGCCCAAGATAACATGGTCTTGTGTAACTGTCAGGGGAGGCTCCACTTTTCATGTTGTGTTATTGAACATTCCAAAGCTGTGACAGTATTTTTCATCACAAAAAGCAAGAGAAACAAGAAAACACAATATTCTATTATATGAGGTTGGAGCCTAGACTGGATACAGGGAACATCTTTCACTAAACTACTAAAGTGTAACTGGTCAAATATTGTTAAAATGAGCAGCAATGTTTTCACTATTTCATAATAAGGCAAAAAGGCAACTTTGAGCCCTAATATTTAGAGATACTTAATATTTAGTGAATATCTTTTGTTCATAACGTAGACCATGAAATATGTACATGCAAAAACAGCAGGCAGTGACTGAAGCTGGTTGTTGTTCTGGCAAACTTAACATATAAATACTGATTCTTATACTGATTCATCCTTATAAACCTGCTCTTTCCTCTCTGATTTTACCCTAGCATAGACTGGCTGCAAGACTTGCTGTGTAATTAAGTAGATATTAGTTGATTTGCAAGTTACCGGCCATAATTATTATTTTATTATTTTGAAAATTTTTCAAAGAGTAGTTGTATAACAGCTACCTCATCATCTTCAGAGAGAAAAGGTTTATTTGAAGATTTTAAGACAGGTTTCAGAACCCATCACAGTACAGAAATGGTGGTAGTGAAGGCTACAAATGATCTTCTTTTGGCCTCTGACAGTGGACTCATCTCTGTGCTTGTCCTGCTAGACTATAATGCTGACTATATATTTTATTACACGGATAAGAGCATGCTATAGGTATTAAAAGTATTGCGCTGTAATGGGTTGAACTACATGTATCTAACAGACTTCAGTGTGGCTATGTAAATGGGAAGTCTTCTTCACACATAAAGGTTAACTATGGAGTTCCACAGGGTTCTGTGCTAGGGTCAGTTGTGTTTATATTACATACACTTCCCCTAAGCACTACAAATAGAAGGCATAATATACATTTCACTACTATGCAGATGATTACCAGATTTTTCTATCCATGAAGCCAAATAAAATACACCAATTTTGCAGGAATGTCTTAACAGCATAACGACCTGGATGACCTCTAATTTTACGCTTAAAATAACAGATAAAACTCATGTTATTGAACTCAGCCATAAAGATCTTAGAAATATGGTATCTAACTCTGGATTGCATTACCTTGCTACATTATAGGCAGCAACGTTCTGGGACAGAGCTGTGAAAATACATACACTGCCTGTATGTATATTAAACATATGAGCTTCTGAGCACACAGAGGTGGTGATAAAGTAATTGCCTTCAACGACTAACACCAGGTCAATAACTGATGAGAGAAAACAGACCCTTGCTAAGTATCTCTGCTTCATCTCTTTCAGAAATTGTCGTAGTCTGGGAGCAGCTGAACTGTGCTATGATTCTCCCTGTGGTGGTAATGGTGAGTCTCCTGTTGCTCTCTGGACCAGAGTCAGGTCTCCAAGAAGACACTCTAGAAATTGACAACAGCAATGACATCCTAGAGAGAGAATTTATCTACATACCAAAACGTCAAAAAAGGGCTGTTGCTGACTACAGTGCCTACCAAACAGACAAATGTTCTTATACCTTCATTGTCCCTCAGCAGAAAAACAATGGGGCAATATGTGTGAACTCCAAGGAGCCAGAGACCTTGCTGCAAAACCGTATTAATAAGCAGGAACTGGAGCTGCTCAACAGTGAGTTGCAAAAGCAGCGAAAGCAGATTGAGGCACTGCAACTGCTGATAGAGCTTGATGGGGGTGTGATTAATGAAGTCAAGCTATTGCGTAAAGAGAGCCGCAACATGAACTCCAGAGTTACTCAGCTCTACATGCAGCTGCTGCATGAGATTATTCGCAAACGAGACAATGCTCTGGAGGTGTCACAGCTGGAGACCCGTGTGCTCAACCACACAAATGAGATGGGGAGGCTAGCTGGACGGTACCAAGACCTGGATCATAAGTACCAGCATCTATCAGCCCTCGCAAGCAGCCAGAGTGCTCTCCTGGAGCAGCTTGAAGAGCAGTGTAAGCACGGAGGATACTTTTACAGAAAGGTTCAAGAGCCCAGCCGTCGTCTCCAGCCACAATCTCCTGCAATCTCCCAGCCTCCTTTACAAACACCTGAATTGTCTCCTGGTGGCTACAGACCTTTCCATCCACCCACTTACACTCGTTACACCAACTACCCCATGAATAATGAGATCCAAAATGACCAGAAAGCCAGAGCACTGCCCACAATGCCAGCCGCAACATACAGCTTCACAAATGAGCCCTCTGGTAAGTACTGGTAAGAAATGTTTGTATCTTCCTTTGAAGTCTCTAACTGAACAAACATTTGCAGTCCTGCATTCACTGAGAATATACCAACAGAGACATATTTATTGAATAACTGAATGTTCTTTTAACAAAAATGTCAGATAGTTTAGGTTACTATAGGGTAATTTCATCTTATATTAGCCAATTTGTAGAACATCTTCTGTTCGAATGATATGCATAAAGGTTTTATGGTAGCACATTTCAACATATATAATGGTTGCTATTAAATTTTAGCATCATATAACACAGATATATATTTTTTTGAAAAATGGTCTGTCAATCCCCACTTTTGAACTTTTTTTTGCAGTCTGGGGGAATGTTTGATAATAAATACCTCAAATTCTATTACAGGTGAAAGTCAGGTCATCAATATGAATTCAATGTAATTCAATACAATTTTATTTATATAATGCCAAACTGCAATAGCAGTTGTCTCAAGATGCTTTATATTGTAAGGCAAAAACCCTACAATATTACAATCTGTAACCCAAATCACAATCTGTAATTTAAGACATCAAAAAATGTTTGGATATTGGCTAGTTAAAATGTGGGGAAAAAAGCTGAGCATGCCTGCAACTTTCATGCTGGGTTGAGCAAAAATATCATTAGATAGTATATTCCAAATAGAACTACATACTTGAGTTTATTCTTAGTCACAACAAGAAGGAAATGCAATTTTTCTTCAAATCTCATGCTGGATTGTGCAAATATCTCAAACTGTACCAACATCATTACTAGCTCAGGTAGATCAGAGCAGATCAGCTACAAACTGGAAGGTTGGTGGTTTGATCCCAGTCTGCTCCAGGCTGCATGCCAAACATCCTTGGGCAAGATACTAACCCCATGTTGCTCTCTGATGAGGGATGTGAATATTAGAAACAGCACAGAGAAAAATGCTTGTGTGAATGGGTGAACGAGGGAAGTTGTGTAAAAGGCTCTGAGTGCTCAGAGTAGAAAAGCGCTTTATAAGAACCAGTCCATTTTCAAATTTCAAATTCAAATTTTTATTTGTCACGTACACAGTCATACACAGTACGATATGCAGTGAAATGCTTAGACAACTGCTCGTGACCTAAAGAAAAAAAAAGGAAAAGGCTATGAATAAGATAGGAAATAAATATGAAAAATTAAAAAGTGTAAATTTAACTAGGAAGGAATAAAATATAAAAAATTAAGGTTAAAAATAAAATAACTGTACAACACAAATTATAATGAAGGGTAAATTTAACTGGGAAAGAATAAGATAAAATATATAAATTAAAGCTGAAAATAAAATAACTGTACAACAAAATACACAATACACAGTATTACACAGTATAGAACTATATAAGAATGTATGAAGAAATATAAATAAATAAATATATATATACACACAATAACAGCAGCTGTACAAGTATTAACTGGAATCTTACCATCAAAAATATAATTGTCTATACAGCAATCACTTTATAAACTGTATAAACATACAAATGTATGTATTTGATGATGGCGGAGCAGAAAACATTCTAAAAAAATTGATGATTTGACATTAGTGTTATAATCATTTCTAGTAAAATTATCAAACTCCAATGTTTTGTTCCATTTGGAAAGGACAACCTTTTATATTTTTGTGGTACAACTACTCATATTTTCTCAATCCGCAATTAAAGCTGAATCAAAATGGCATTTTTGTCATTTTGGGGACCACAAATTTAATGTTAAAAAGCATTCTACATGATTGTTTTACAGTATTGTGCAATTTAATTATTTATCATTCAGAAATCCTAAATAGAAATCTTCCTCACCCCCCCCCCACCCCGCTATATAAAAAAAACATCATTTCATGAACAGTGTGATAGTGACCCTTTGCTTTCTGTAATGTTAAAAGCACTCACATCATCCTAAGATAAAGCACAGAGACTCTGGACTTTTACATAATGATATTATATTGAACTTTCCACAGGACTGAATATTTAAAATATATATTATTCTTTCTGCTTACTCTGGTATGAATGACTGAATATATTTTAGTAAATAACACACTATTAGCAAAACACAGTGTGAAAGAATTCTAGATTAAAATTTTTAGTTCAAAATACAAGTGAAGATGTTTGACCTTCATCAGGTTATAGTTAATGCTATCAGAGAAAATATCATGTTCTCTTCGTGCACCTAACTACATTCAGTGTTAAAAGCAGAAGTTGTGCAGGTCTGAGATCAGCACCACCTTAAACACCAAAATGAGTTACTGTTTATGCTCTTATATAGTGACACCAGTTACATGGATCATGAATCCCTTTGACTTTTTGACTTGAACTTTATCAATAATACAGCTGCAGTTTTCACTGACAGTGTTTCATAAGGTACTTTAGCCTTTGTACTTTTTTCATCAGTTAATTTTGGAGTTACTACAAAGGACGGATATATAGGATGATTTGTCTGTTGTCACTGGGTGGTGCTGAGGTCTGAATCTAAGGGCAGCTCCTGTAATCACAAAGAACAGAATCAACACACACCGTGAAATTTGAAGTTTATCCCTCAAATATTAAATAAAACCAAGCCTTATATCCAGATTATCCAGTATCATTTTTATATTTAAGTTGTTTGTGCTTTTTAAAAGGAGACCTGCAAAGATGAGATGAGCAGGTTTCCAGTCCTGGTCACCTGCAAGAAAATAGAGAAACATATAGAGGTATGCAGTTTTTAAGCTGCTGCCTGAGCACTGGACAACATATATTAACGCTCTCTATATTATTTCTCTCAAAGGATGCAAGATGTACATTCAGGATTAATTCAGATAATTTTTTAACCTCAATATTTGAAACAAACTCTGTAAAAAAAAATAAATATATAAATAAATATATAGAGTTGTGCTGAAAAATTAGCTTTTTAAAAAATGTGGTATTCCTGTTCTGTTTCTCATATAAACTGTTTCAGTGCCTCATCTTCAGCTACTGGTCTGAACATCCTTCAATTAAGTGTGACCTTCAGGTTCAGAGAGTAAATTTATTCATGTGCACAGATTTAGCTACTAAACATGGCTTTCCCCAACAGCTGATTGCTCACCTTAGCTAGCTAGCTAAGGACATTGATTACAGATTAGCTTACAAACACATTTAACTTACTGAAAAAGTGTGCCAGGGCCTTGGGTCCTTCTCTTAGTTAGTCCAGGTTATTCCAGAACACCTCACGACGTCAGTTTAAAATATTCACTTGTGGTTATGGAAAATCAACACTGAATCTCCTGACAGCATTCCCGTTTATCTGCCATTCCCAAACAGAGATACGCAAGTTTCTCCAAGAAAGCAGCTACCATCAAAGCTATCATGGTGATGTTACACCCCAAATTCACATCATGTAGTTGCTAATTAGAATAGAACTTATGAGAAAAAAATGCTTCAATACAAATCGGTGATGAAGACTACTAATAATAGCAGAACGCATCTTTGGGAAAAACCTTTTTTTTTAATTTTTTTTTTAGAATAGTCCCATCCACTAATATGGAGGCCAGGGGGATAACAGACAAATTTTGGCTTCATTGTTGGGGAGATGTTAGGTTGATCACATTTTCTATGGTCAATGGTTTATATACAAGTTACGATGCTGTGTAAAATGTAAAGAAAAAAAATGTAATGTGTGTAATATGACTTCTTCTTTTAATACTCTCTAAAGTGTATGGGAACTAAAGAAACCAGTTGCTGTAATTTTAAAGAAGAATGTTTCCCATTCTCACTTAATGTAGGACTTCATGCTAAATGTTTTAGTGGGTGACAGATCTAAACTGCATTTGACTGAGCAAATCTTACCTCTCATTGATTTTCAGATACAGCCACCCTACTCTACTCAGTGTTTATTCCCAACTGACAATTTTCTGCAGTTATTTTCCCCTCTCTTCTTTTGCCCCCAATGGATGGCAGGAGTTGCCCTACCTAAAGTGAGTTCTGTTGGAGGGTGAATCCCGTGTAAAAGTAAGGGTTTTCCTCTGGCCATTACCAGTAGGCGGTAGGTGAAGTGTCTTGCCCAAGGACACAACAAACAAGACAGACAGAGCTGGCAACCTTCCAGTTACAAGCTGAGCTTCCCAATCCCATGAACCACGGTTGCCACGGGTTCTCCAGCTTCAGCCCACAGTCCAAAGACATGTAGTTAGTGGGGTTAGGTTAATTGATAATTGTAAATTGACCATAGTTGTAAATGTAAATACTTGTCTGTCTATGTGTTAGCTCTGCAACAGACTGGCGATCTGTTCAGGGTGTATCCTGCTTCTCGCCCTAAGACAGCTCAGATAGGTCCCAGCCACCCTGTGACCCTGAATTGGATAAGCAGAAGAGAATGGATGGATGGTTGACAAGTGGTTGCTCATAGATCACTGGCTCTTTTAGGTTCTGTCTTTAATAGAATAAAGAGAATTCCACTAATTTTGTGTAATACCTTCTATCATTCCACAGAGGGCAAAAAGTGAGATATAATTTAAGAATAGCTGTGTTCCCATGTGTGCGCTGTGACTACAAAGAAGGTTTTGCCCACAGTACTGTTTATTCTTGCCAGCAGCAAACAGACTGGAAAGTATTTGTCATATTTCGTAGAGACAACACGTGATCAGGAGTGACTCACTTTTCCAGGAACCCTCCATCTGTATATTTTTCTATTGCACTTCATGTCTCCATGTGTGTTGTGTGCACAGGTTGTTAAAACTATAATAATGATGAAGCCAGCATGTCACTAAAAATGAGCCTATGATGATCACACACCAGATGCAATTGTATTACCCTTCATTCTCTGCCTTCTACAGGACATTTCAGAGATTGTCTGGAGGCTCTGGAGAGTGGATATACCACCAGTGGAATGTACCTCTTAAAACCAGACAAAAGCAATCAACTTATGCAGGTCTGGTGTGACCAGAGACAAGACCCTGGTGGCTGGATCGTTATTCAGAGACGTCAGGATGGCTCTGTCAACTTTTTTAGGAACTGGGACACTTACAAGGTAATAAGTTATAGTAGCACCCAAGATTGTACTTATGAGGTTGTATGTGCTGTCTAGATACACTAAAGATACTACGAAGCAAAACTGTTAGCCGCAAATGCATTAAATATCGATGAACTATAGTAGTGCTGTTGCTAATGTAAAGAATGTCTGCCCAACACCATATACAGGGAGTGCAGAATTATTAGGCAAGTTGTATTTTTGAGGAATAATTTTATTATTGAACAACAACCATGTTCTCAATGAACCCAAAAAACTCATTAATATCAAAGCTGAATGTTTTTGGAAGTAGTTTTAGTTTGTTTTTAGTTTTAGCTATTTTAGGGGGATATCTGTGTGTGCAGGTGACTATTACTGTGCATAATTATTAGGCAACTTAACAAAAAACAAATATATACCCATTTCAATTATTTATTTTTACCAGTGAACCAATATAACATCTCCACATTCACAAATATACATTTCTGACATTCAAAAACAAAACAAAAACAAATCAGCGACCAATATAGCCACCTTTCTTTGCAAGGACACTCAAAAGCCTGCCATCCATGGATTCTGTCAGTGTTTTGATCTGTTCACCATCAACATTGCGTGCAGCAGCAACCACAGCCTCCCAGACACTGTTCAGAGAGGTGTACTGTTTTCCCTCCTTGTAAATCTCACATTTGATGATGGACCACAGGTTCTCAATGGGGTTCAGATCAGGTGAACAAGGTGGCCATGTCATTAGTTTTTCTTCTTTTATACCCTTTCTTGCCAGCCACGCTGTGGAGTACTTGGACGCGTGTGATGGAGCATTGTCCTGCATGAAAATCATGTTTTTCTTGAAGGATGCAGACTTCTTCCTGTACCACTGCTTGAAGAAGGTGTCTTCCAGAAACTGGCAGTAGGACTGGGAGTTGAGCTTGACTCCATCCTCAACCCGAAAAGGCCCCACAAGCTCATCTTTGATGATACCAGCCCAAACCAGTACTCCACCTCCACCTTGCTGGCGTCTGAGTCGGACTGGAGCTCTCTGCCCTTTACCAATCCAGCCACGGGCCCATCCATCTGGCCCATCAAGACTCACTCTCATTTCATCAGTCCATAAAACCTTAGAAAAACCAGTCTTGAGATATTTCTTGGCCCAGTCTTGACGTTTCAGCTTGTGTGTCTTGTTCAGTGGTGGTCGTCTTTCAGCCTTTCTTACCTTGGCCATGTCTCTGAGTATTGCACACCTTGTGCTTTTGGGCACTCCAGTGATGTTGCAGCTCTGAAATATGGCCAAACTGGTGGCAAGTGGCATCTTGGCAGCTGCACGCTTGACTTTTCTCAGTTCATGGGCAGTTATTTTGCGCCTTGGTTTTTCCACACGCTTCTTGCGACCCTGTTGACTATTTTGAATGAAACGCTTGATTGTTCGATGATCACGCTTCAGAAGCTTTGCAATTTTGAGACTGCTGCATCCCTCTGCAAGATATCTCACTATTTTTGACTTTTCTGAGCCTGTCAAGTCCTTCTTTTGACCCATTTTGCCAAAGGAAAGGACGTTGCCTAATAATTATGCACACCTGATATAGGGTGTTGATGTCATTAGACCACACCCCTTCTCATTACAGAGATGCACATCACCTAATATGCTTAATTGGTAGTAGGCTTTCGAGCCTATACAGCTTGGAGTAAGACAACATGCATGAAGAGGATGATGTGGACAAAATACTCATTTGCCTAATAATTCTGCACTCCCTGTATGAGTCTGGGTATTCTTAGTGTATAATTAAAAATAAACATGTAGAGAAAAAAGTAGCTCTCAGCTGAACTCCACTTTATAAATCACTGTGTTCTGAGATTAAGGATAATCTGACTCTAACTGTTCATATAGTCAGCAGTCAGATACAAGACATTTTTCAGAGGAATCTCATTTTTGGCAGTGTAGCATGCAGCAACTAGCTTGAGAGGGAAGGGCAGGGGGTTTATAGCTTTTTGTAATAAATAAAAATTTTCAGTAATGTTATGCAACGCTTGCATTGTGTGACATTTGAGAGAACTCATAACATATTATTAAACTGAGATTCAAGGGTCACACCTAAAATTGGACTTTAAGAAAACAAGCTGTTAGGCAAACCCATCTCATTGTGTAACATGACTAATTGTAAGAAAAACTCAGTAAAATGAAATACAGTATATGAGATCACAACAGCAGAGAAGAAATCAGTTCCAGTGGTCTCAAAATTCTCAGTGTTGCTGCCAACACAGTGATCCAAAAATGTTATAAGCATGCTGTGTTTCCATGTAGTCATGAATGGTGCTCGATAATAGACAAATATAAATGCATAAGGTAGAAGCCCTTATTGCCAAACATCTTGTGACCTAAAGTCAGCTGAGTTCTCTTCTCAGTCTCAAGATAAAGGGCGATCGTGGCTCAAGAGTTGGGAGTTCGCCTTGTAATCGGAAGGTTGCCGGTTCAAGCCCCGGCTTGGACAGTCTCGGTCGTTGTGTCCTTGGGCAAGACACTTCACCCGTTGCCTACTGGTGGTGGTCAGAGGGCCCGGTGGCGCCAGTGTCCGGCAGCCTCGCCTCTGTCAGTGCGCCCCAGGGTGGCTGTGGCTACAATGTAGCTTGCCATCACCAGTGTGTGAATGGGTGGATGACTGGATGTGTAAAGCGCTTTGGGGTCCTTAGGGACTAGAAAAGCACTATACAAATACAGGCCATTTACCATTTACTATTTCCAAGCCAACAATTCCTCTAATACAACATTGATGAGTCAACAAAGCACTTTTTTAAGATGCTCACAGTTGGAGAGACGAGGCCTCTCTTCTGACTTAATCCATGTTCTCGTTCATGTACTTTATACCTGATCAATTCAGTGTCTCTCTCCTTCCACAGCAAGGTTTTGGAAACATTGATGGTGAATACTGGTTGGGCCTAGACAACATCTTTTGGCTGACAAACCAGGGCATCTACAAGCTTTTAGTGACGCTGGAAGACTGGACTGGACGGAAGACCTTCGCAGAATATGCTAGCTTTCGTGTAGAGTCAGAAGCAGATTTCTACAGGCTACGACTGGGCCGATACCACGGCAATGCTGGAGACTCTCTAACCTGGCACAATGGAAAGCACTTTACCACACTGGATAGGGACCATGATGTCTACGCAGGTAAGTGGGTTCCCGTAAAAGACAAGGTGATCACACCTTCTGGTAGATTTCTCTTTCACACACTCTACAGTTGTTATTAGTAGTTACTAACATCTCTTAATAGTTTCTACACTCTTGTAGATTGGTTTGCAGGGACATTCACTTATCCAAAAATACTGGATACAACAATTGCTTTTTGCTTATTGCTTTGTTATACACTTCAATTAGGCTCTGATCTCTCTTTCCCCAAACCACAGGCTTGTCTTGTGTACACAATTTTTCTATGGTGGTATTTCTAGAACAGGAATTTCAGACCTGTACCTCTTTTTCCCATCTCCAGAGCCTCTCTGTGAGGAAAAAAAAAAGGAATATGAAAATTAATGAATATGAAAGATGTCATTTAATGGACTTCCAGTGTCATGTACAAAATTTTAAATGGGAAGCCCAACATGGCAGTCTTAAAGAAAGCGACACTCTACTTACAATTCAAGGAAAGTTGAAGGAAGCTGTGACTGTGTGGAAAGACCCTGTTGAATTCCTCATTAAGTTATGTGAAGATGTAAAACAAAAAAAACAAAAAAAAGGAGGAACTCACAGCAGAGTTTAACCGGAAAGTACAAGAAAATGCGCATCATATGGAAGTAACTGAAAAACAAATTGGAGAAATAGAGGGGGACGTGGACGGAGCGGTGGAATGTTGGAATGCTCTCTCACGGCTTCTCAGAAGCCAAATATAAAGATGAGCAAAATGTCTGACCTCGAAGATGGTTCCTGATGTAATATGATCACGATATTCCAGAGGTTGCAGATTGCACTGCCACTGTAACTTTTGTTGAAAATCTAATTAAGTCAGAGCTGGCTGAAAACAGCATGCTAAACTGAGAGTGAGACCTAGGAATAGAACGAGTACAAGGGGTCCTCGCACAGGGCCTCCAAGCACACCTCCTTGCTCTGTAGTGGTCCAGTTTATTCGATATTGTCAGGGTTCCTGGGTCGTTGACCCAGTGCTTTCAGTTTTGACACGTTCAGTTTATTCTTCAAAACTCATGGTTTTCACTTCCTGTTTTCTGTGCCAGCATGTTGCCTTTGTATTGTGTTCCACTGATTCCCATGTATCATTAGTAGGGCTGCCACAAACGATTATTTTGATAGTCGACTAGTCACCGATTATTTTTGCGATTAGTCGACTAATCAGATCATCATCCATTGGACGTAAAACGTACAGCTTATTGCACCAGCATGCATCTGCTCTTATATAACTATCATTTAACAAGTGTTTAAGGTCTGTGCTAACTAAAAATAAAGACAAGATGATAGTTTATTAAATTTTAATGAAATTTGCAGATTGTTTCGGTGAAGTTTAATAAACTCCTTGCTATCTAAAATATAACAGGACACTGGAGTATATTCTCGAGAATCTCACACTTCTGATAATCAGCTGTCTGCTTGACGTTTATTCAGCTGTGTAAAAACTATAACTTTAATCTCAGCCAAACCGATTTACTCAGGAACAAATAAAATATTAAAAAAAGCCAAACAATAACATTTTTAAGTTATCTTGCCCCCAGCTAGCTATCGAGCTAGTGGGTAACAGACGTCTCCGAAAACGTCGGAGCGCTTTTGAAAATATGTGGTGTCCTGATAAACTGAGCCGATATTTGAGGTTTACACAGCTACATTCTCACCTGAAAATATGTTATTTATTTTGTGACTCAGAAAGAATAATAAGAGTAATATTAAAACTAACTAGCTGCTGCCATTGTTGGAAACTGAGCTGGGCTGCGCTATGAATTCTGGGACAGAGCTGCTACTTCTTCTTCTTCGGGGTTTTAACAGCAGCTGGCATCCTTGTACATGCAGTGCTGCCATCTTCTGTTTCAGTCCGTTATTACACTCTTAAATCCTACTACTTATTCCTGCATCTTTTGGGATCTTACAAAGCTTCAAACGACGCGTTGACTATTAAATCAGTCGTCGACGATTTTGATAGTCGACGTAATCCTGACTAGTCGACTAATCGTGGCAGCCCTAATCATTAGTCAGACTAAGTTCAGCTGTGTACTCACCAGTTTCTAATCACTCATCATCCAGCGTGTATTTAAGTCCTCAGTTTCCACCAGTTCATTGTTGTGTCATTGTAGATGTTATGTTGTCGTTCCCGCCTGTGTTCAGTTGTTCAGCCAGCCATTCAGTCTTTCAGTCAGTTAGTCCTTTTGTTCCTGCGCTGTTCGTTCATTCGCTCCAATAAAATATCATCATCCTGCACAGTGAGTCCTGCGTTTGGGTCATCTCTTCTTCGCCTCCACACACAACCTCTGACAGATATGTAGTCAAAGAATAGAATCCTCCATGCAGCTCAGACTAAGAAGATAATGGTCCAAAACAAGTGGTTGTATCTTGATCATGATACACACAAAAAGCCACCTACAACTTGGATGGTATCCAAAGAAGGTATCCTGCTCCCTTTGGACTTTGGCAGCCGAATTATATGACTTAAAATGAATATTCTCCCCAAATGATTCTTTTCTTTTCTCAGTATTACCCATAAACAGAAATAAACCTAAACACCAATGTAGAGCCTGGAATAAAAATATCTCACAATTCATTTGGAATAATAAGAAACCCAAAGTGAAATTCTCTACCCTGTTTCTGAGGAGATGGGGGTAAGGCTCTGCCTTTATTACTTACTTTATCAGTTACTGTCACTTTATGTTTGTGTAATCCATATTATGTAGCCAATTAATGTAGCCAACCATTACAGTCAATGTCTGTTTGTGTTGATAAAGAAATTAAGGCATCCAAGCAATGGGTAAATATGGGAAGAAAAACCTGTTAACTTTAGGATGAGGCAAAATTGTTTAGGCGGCAAACATATAAATCTGACTTTGCACCAGCAGTACAAGACAGCAGGTTCTACCAGTGGTTTTCTTTAGAGATTACCTCCATATATGTAAGCTCCTTAAACACTGGGAACTACGATTTTAAAACCTTATTTCAAACATACCGCTTGAAAATAACTGGAATTTTATAGATATTCAAAGAACGATGGGAAAAGGAACTGGATATTGGCAATCTGTCTGTCTACAGCCATCATCTAGAAATTCCTGGACTTACAAAGACTTTTGTTGGAAAAACATAAATTGCTTCTTTATAATCTAATTTTATAATCTAAAAAAAACATCTAAACATATTCTGGTCTTCTACCTATTCAAAGTTTTTTGAATGAAGTATCAGTAATCCAATGTCTTGGATTTTAACTTTTTGTGCAATAATCATTATTAAATTTTAATCTGTCGATAATTGTCCCATGATCACTTGTTTCTTCTTTTCCTGTGTATGTGTTCCTGTTTTTCTGTTCACAATTTGAAAAAAAGAAATATTTTAATTTTTACTTTAATTGTGGTGGATGGAATTGAAATATACACACAAATGGCTCATCTTTAGATCTTCAAGCTATGGATTCCAAATGGAGGAAAACCAAGAACTTAATAGTGCAGGGAATCATCAGTTTGCTTTCAACGCTAATGCTGCAGTCTTTCTCGTATATCAGGTCTACTGATGGACAAAATTTAAACTGTCTTAATTTTCTTTATCATATTTAAAGCCGTTAGGCTGCTAGCTGTTTTATTTAGTGTACATACCAATTGGTCTTATTTGCTTGTGTTATTTGTGTTTCCAGGGAATTGTGCCCACTATCAGAAGGGAGGATGGTGGTATAATGCCTGTGCTCATTCCAATCTGAACGGTGTGTGGTACAAAGGTGGGCATTACCGCAGCCGCTATCAGGATGGGGTCTACTGGGCTGAGTTCAGAGGAGGAGCTTATTCTCTGAAAAAAGTGACCATGATGATAAGACCCAATGGAAATACCTTCCAATAATTGCTCAGTATGTTGAAACTTATATTTAACAAGATGTTTCCACCAAAGGGATTCTGTATCACAAGACCAGGCACCATTGGTTGATTTTCAAAGCTTCTTTTGGTTGTTATACATTCACAATGCCAAGACGTGGCAGAACTTGTTCATTTCATTTGTCCTACATGTAATGCTTTTATTCATATTCTTGTGCTCATAAAGTTATACTGCACACAAATAAAAAGATTACAACCTTGCATGTAATGAATGTAAGATGATGCCTGCATTCCTTTCTCAATGTAGGCTGTTAACGATGTAGTGTTTAAAGGCTTTTTTCCCCATCAGAACAAAATCCACAGTTACATATCAGTGAAAAAGAACCAAGAAATTGACATCCAGAAATGTTAATTTCTTGATTGCTGGCAAAAAAAACTTGTACTTCTCAATATTCATGGCATTTGTAATACTCGTTAAGTGTAAAAAAATATGTGCTCTTTGACATAATGTTTTCTTTGATTCTTCCCATGTGCCTAGCGGAATTTGAACTGTTTTGAACAAAAAGAAAAAGTATACATATAAGTCTGGAATGGAGGCCGGGCTTGGAAATCTAAAACTTACTTAAAAGAAAATAAAAGAATCTAAAGCAGATTGTGTTAAACTAATGCTGAGACACAGATAGTAGACTCACCAAGGTAAGGAATACAGGGCACCATCTTCAGGGAGCGAATATATTCCCTCATGCGGGTGTAATTCTCTTCCTTGGATGTCAGATAGTTTAGCTTCTCAAACGTGGCCTTGTCTTTCCGACTGATCAGCTACAACAGACAGGAAACAATAACACATACATAATTTTCTATTTTCATGTAGAACCTTTTACTTAAGTGGGAACAGAAGCATTGACAGACTGGAGTGCTTTCTAAAAAACCAACAGGTTTATTGATATTATGAACTCAGTTGTTTCTATTGGTCATCCTGACTGATCCAGACACATATGACAAAATCTAGCTTTTTTAATGTCAAAATGAGACCCAAACATTTTCCCAAGCACAAAGTCAATTTTTTGGCAGTAATACTCCATATCAACATTACAAAAAAAATTTTGGTGAAGAGAAAAATGTCTAATTCTTTTGTAAGGCAATTGTCCAGCTGTTCTAATCAAGGTATGCAGAAGAGCTCTGAGCTCAGATGTAGTTCTTCTCCCTAAGCTAAGAAAATGAACCTGAGGCTGCAATAAAGGGACAGATGGGCATAGGCATAGGCTCACCAAAAACTATACAATTAAAAAAGGTTCTCTGGTTCGACAAGTTTCCTGGTCTGTTATCACAATCAAATAGATAGATCATAAACATGTATTGCTCATTCATAAAGAAGAAAGCTTTGGAACTATCCCGACTAGTGAAGAGAGTGTAGTTTCAACAACACTGATTTCCTCCCGAGATCTTCAGAGCCATTGAAAGGAATGAATTAAAGGCTCTGGAGGTCCCTGTATATGCACGTAAACCTGTGTCAAAAAGTTCAATGAACTCAGAAACACACGGAATGTTTTCCTTCATTGTGTGGTTTAACTTAATGCAGCTCTAGGCTTCGTTTCTATTGGTCACAGATTAATAATGAGATTAACCCATGGATTAATAATGGGATGTCACTCAAGTTCATATGTGTGTGAAGGCAGACAAGCAAATACTTTTGGCAAAAGAGTCACACATAGTTAGACATTCCCTGCTAAAGTTAAACAATCATGTGACTGACTGGTCAGCAGGTTGAGTAATTTCTTGGAGTAATTTATGCCTCTCTAATTGTATGCGATCAACCCTTCCACCCATTAAACCAGGTCCCCAGTCATCAGATCTGTCTACTGTTCCAAAAGACTATCATGATTTAGGACAGAGGTCAGCAACCTGTGGCTCATGAGCCATGGGCTAGAATTAGGGTTAACTGTAACCCTATGTATTAATAGGGCAGGTAGAAGAATTACCAAGGAATTCGGAAAAAGAGAAGAACCATGTGGAATTGGAATGACCTTACACTTGTCTCACCTTAATAAATGACCACCGTATTGAAACTGCAATGTGCAGAAGACAGACTACAAAATGCTCAAATCTTAATCTTAATTCATCTCAAAAGTGTTCTAACACCGTTGTTGTATGGAGGTCATTTAAATGAGAACAGCCTATGAAAAATATTACTTCATTATAGAGCTAGGAATTTTAAAGGAGGAGAAGGAACATTTAGGACCAGATTTACAAACATTAGCAGCAGCACAACCGCTGAATTTACAAAAGAAGCAGTGTCAATTCTATGACAAAGTTGTGAACAGGAGTATTTTTTGGCTGACCTTATGGCATATGTATTTATAAGTTTTATTTTCATGAGGAGAATATTTAAACAAATTATGCAAACGTGAATTACAAAGTCTGTGGAACACAATTTAATGCTATCCTACGCTAAAGAAAGCAATAAAAGAAGCACAGAAGCTCCTTTCCTTAGTGTTTGGAGAGCTGGAACAGCTCTTATTAAGGCTGCCATACAGCTACTTTCAGGTCACATCTCTCAGTTAGGAACCTTCCTAAGTAAAATGGACTATTAGAATGCAACGTGAACTTGACACAAGGACAAGAGCTAAACATGGAAACATGACTGACTGGGGAGACAAGACTACTCAGACAGGGCACAGACGGAGCAGACAGACAAAGACACAAGACTATAGAAACAGTCAGGGATCCTAAAAGTGAACTACAACCTATAATCAAGAGAAACATCCATCCATCTTCTTTCGCTTATCTGGGGCCAGGTCACGGGGGCAGCAGCCTAAGCAGGGAAGCCCAGACAGTCCTCCCTTTCCCCGGTCACCATCTCCAGCTTGTCCAGGGGGACACTAAAGCGTTCCCAGGTCAGCCGAGAGATACAATCTCTCCAGCGTGTCCTGGGTCTGCCCCAGGGCCTCCTCCCGGTGGGACATGCCTGAAACACCTCAACTGGCTCCTTTTAATATGGACGAGCAGCCGCTCTACTCTGAGCTCCTCCCGGATGGCCGTACTTCTCACCCTATCTCAGAGAGGTTAGCCACCCTTTGGAGTAGGCTCATTTCCCTCGCTTGTATCCGCAATCTCATTCTTTCTTTCACTGCCCACAGCTAATGACCATAGGTAGGAATAATAGATCAACCGGTAAATTGAGAACTTCGCTTTTACATTCAGCTCATCACTGCAGCTGCAGCACCAATCAATCTAAAGGGCAGCCCTGGCGGAGTCCATCACCCACCATAAATGAGTCTGACTTATTGCTGGCTATGGGACAAAGCTCTTGCAACGGTTGTATAAGGATCGAATGGCCTGTAGCACTGGGCCAGATGCTCCATATTCCTGAAGCACCTCCCACAGGACACTCCAAGGGACACGGTCGAATGCCTTCTCCAGGTCCACAAAACACATGTAGACTGGTTGGGCAAACTTCCATGTACCCTCAAGTATCCTCAAGAGGGTAAAGAGGTAGTCTAGTGGTCCACGACCAGGACAAAAACGACATTGTTCCTCCTGTATCCAAGGTTTGACTAACTGTCCAGCATCCTGCCCAACATACAAGCAGCAAGTTGAGGGGATACTAGGATACCCACCCCAGCCCGCAGCCTCTCAACCAAGGGCAACTCCAGACTGGGACAGAGTCCAGCCCCTCTCCAGGAGACTAGTTCCAGAGCCCAAGCCATGCGATGAGGTGAGCCCGACTATATTTAGCCGGTACCTTTCCACCTCACACACTAACTCAGGCTCCTTTCCCACCAGAGAGGTGACATTCCATATCCCAATTGCTAATCTTGGTAGCTGAGGCCCACCAGGGCCTCCCCTCCTGGCTAGCGCCAAACACACATTGCACACGACCCCTACGGCACCTCCTGCAGGCAGTGGGCCTACAGAAGGAAGGGCTCATGTCCCTTTTTTGGGTTGTGCCTGGCCTGGCCCAATGGACTAAGGCCCGGCCACCAGACGCTCACCCTCGGGCACTCTCCCCAGGCCTGGCTCCAGGGCGCAGCTCTGCTAACCCTATCCCAGGTATGGTGAACTGTTCCCTTGATTGTATACTCTTAGGGGTTGATTTGCTCTGGGTCTGTTCCCTCACCCAGGACCAATTTGCCATGGGTGACCCTATCAGGGGGCAAAAGCCCCCCAACAACATGGCCCCTGGGATCCCTAGGATACACAAACCCCTCCACCACAATAAAGCAGTGATTCATGGACGGGCAACAAATAACAAAATACAAGTCAAAACACTGGGTCAAAGTGTCGTATAAATACATTAACTGGTAATACCATATGTTAGTTAAGTTTAATACAAGCTCAAAAGAGAACGGCAATTGACCTACGATAAATAGATACCCATGACAGGTAAATGTCATCACTGGCACACAGTAGCATCTAATTTAAAGAACAAACAAACAAAAAACAACATATTCATGACTTGTCAAAACTATGAATTACAGAAGTAAGACTTTAAGGCATGCACAAAGCTGAAATCTTACCGCCCAGGTTTTGCTGAGTCTGAAGATCGGCGCACTCTGCAGAGCAGAAACCACGGACACCAGAGAATGGAGATTATTCAACTCCAACAGTTTCTGTAAACAAGAGCGATTATAAAAGACATGTTAGGAACAGGATAGGAATGCGTAAAGTAACTTAGTTTTCCTTTAATTTTAACTGGTTATTAGGCTTTATTAGGCATTATTAGTGATTACCAATTATGGTACTAATTACTAATGAAGAAAAAAAAAATACCACACCACAACAAAACAAATTCCAATTATTACTTGGATAAAGTACCAAGATGCGGAGTAAAAATAAAATTAAAAAAAAAAAGTCTTATTTACAAATTACAAATTATTTAAAGGTTATATTCAACTAAGAATAGCAAAAAAGACAACTTCACTAAAATATGAACACTGAGAAATTTGCTTCTTGCAACATTTGCGCTCATTTTAAATTTAACAGCCACTGTGTTATATCACCTTGTCCTTTAAAAAGAAACTGTACATGTTTAAAGGTCTGAGGGACTGAAGTCCCTCCAAGCTATCTCTGAGTGACAAACAGACAACTACACACTCTCACATAACTATAGCATTGTCCCCTCATCTTTCACTAGAAACATGAGGGGACAATGCTAATCACTGCACCACCGAGACACCCTGCTATATAAATCTTTTTCTCTCCCAAATAAATTTGTATTTTTTTGGGAAATAAGATGTGCATACTGACTCACACACAAACTGAGGGACCTTGAAAGTAGCCCTGACCCCCTTAATATACCCTTTGCATATCTTCCACATCTCAACCTCAATGACCCAGACGGGTAGAGAGGGCCTGGGCGGAGGGCAATTTAAACCGGGCAGCAACAGGGTTAATCATAAAGTCTATCTCGATCTGGACAATTTCTTTGACTCCGTACGGAGAGGAATGCCTTTTGCCAATAGCCAAACCATCTGGCTGTCCTGGCAGGATGGAGTCAAGGTTCGATGGCCAAAAGGTTGTTTTCCTCCTCGGTCCTTAGCAGTGTGGAGCAAGTAGCTCTCCAAAGGTAGCAGCATCTGCAGATGGGAACGGAGGTCTCACCTTTGATGGCTGGGCAGACAGGCAGCTGATAACTGAGCAATGCTTGAAAGGGTAATAGGCCTGTAGCAGCAGAGGTCATGGAGTTGTGGACGTACTTTACCCATTTTTAGATGGGACTTCCATGTGAACTGGGGGCCCCAGTCAGAAATGATGTCATAATCATCATCTGCAGCTCAACGTGGCAAAGACCAAGGAACTGATCGTGGACTTCAGGAAGACCAGGAAACACTTGACCCCTGTTTCAATCCAGGGGGTCAGTGTTGACATCGTGGAGGACTATAAATACCTTGGAGTACACATTGACAATAAACTGGACTGGGCTAAAAACACCACAGCACTTTACAGGAAGGGCCAGAGTCGTCTCTATTTTTTGAGGCGACTGAGGTCCTTCAACATCTGCCAGAAAATGCTAGGATTTTCTATGAGTCTGTTGTGGCCAGTGCGATCCTCTATGCTGTTGCATGCTGGGGGAGCAGGCTGAGGGTCGCAGATGCCAACAGACTTAATAAACTAATCCGTAAGGCCAGTAATGTTGTGGGGATGGAGCTGGACTCCCTCAAGGTGGTGTCGGAGAGGCGGATGCTGTCCAAGATAAAGACAATGTTGGATAACACCTCCCACCCACTCCATGACATGCTGGTCAGTCACAGGAGCACGTTCAGTGAGAGACTGAGATTACCGAAAAGCACCACTGAACGACACAGGAAATCATTCCTGCCTGTGGCCATCTCCCTGTACAACGCATCCACTTAACACACTGTTTGCTGCTACAACTACACATGTTTCTTTTCCAACTATTTATTTATGAGTGAAGTATGTATGTGTATATATGTATATATTGTACTATTCTTAGTTAGTGTATTGTCTGTCTTGTCTTAATGTTGGTTTAAAATGGAGCACTGTAACAAAAAATAATTTCCCCCAGGGATTAATAAAGTATTCTGATTCTGATTCTGATTTGATGCAGATAAGTCTAAAAATGTGGTGGGTGAGTTTTTCTGCAATTTCCAGAGCTGATAGGAGTTTAGGAAGAGCAGCAAAATGGACAGCTTTGGAGAACCAGTCTATGCTGAATCTAGGGTTAGGTGAGACCACGGATGACCAGGTGTGGGTAGGGGTTTCAGGAGTCTTACAGGTAGGGAAGTGGAAATTTTGTTTTGAGCACATCTGGGTTGGAACATATTCATAGACATCCTTGGACAAGGATGGCCAGGATGGCAGGTGAATCTTGAAGTCTGGGCCCAATGAATTACTTTTAAACTGAACTCTTGTGGGAACATAGAGACTATTTAGGGGTCCTGTAGTGGGGTATGGCTCCCTCTTCTGGGCACTGACGATCTCAGACTTAATCTCCCAGGTTACGGAACCAGCATGAGGACAGAATCGTCTCATCCTCAGGTGAGCTGTTGGAAGTGGCAAATTGTCTAGACAAGGCGTCTGACAGTGGGCCAGTAGGTTATAGAAATATTAAAGCGGGTAGAGAGCTGACCCACCTGCCTTGATGGGAGTTTAATCTTTTTGCAGTTTACACATAGGCAATATTCTTGTGATCTGTCTAAACAATAAATATATGCTCTGAGCCCACAAGCCAATGCTTCCATTCCCCCAATGCCAGTTTTATGGCCAGTAGGGGTGGGGGAAAAAAATCGATACTGTGTAGTATCGTGATATTTTGTTTGCTAATAATGTATCGATACAGGGACAGCAGAAATCGATATTTTGTTACAAAAAAAGTTTTTGTGGACTGGAACATGCTCTGACTTCAGAGCATGTTGATCCTTTTTCTGAGCAAGAATCCTGACATTCCTTCACTGTCCAAATGTGTTTAACTTTTTTTTTGGCAGCAATAAACATGACAGTTTACTTATTTTAATTTAAGACATGTTTTATTTTAATTAAGTTTAAAACTTTTTTATTTAATGTAAAATTATATTTTGTTTTAATTTACTTTCAAATTCTTCAGTTGCTGAATGGGCTGCATAGTTTTCATAAATTGCATAGTTCAGAATAGCTATAATTGTACCAGATGGTTGCATTCAGTTAAGTTGGACTAGACTGTAATACAAACCGTTCAGTTTGTCAAACAATAAAACTGACTGACATGAGAGAAAGACTGAGTGTGAGACTTTGATATTAGATAAAATGAATATTGATAAAGTTTACCTTTATGTACAGAATCTGAATATCGCAAAATATTTTAAAAAATTGCAATAATATCGTATCGTGCGTTAAGTATTGTCATAATATCGTATTGTGGGATGTATGGTGATTCCCACCTCTAATGGCCAGCAACTCCCGATCATAGTTTTTCCTTTGCTGGAGTCAGACGATGGGAGAAAAAGGCACACGCATGCATCTTACAAGAATGTTGCTGTGAGAGAACAGCACCCACTGCAGAATCGCGCTGCGTTGTCTGGAAGTCTGGACTCCCATGTGACCTTACAAAGTCCAGGCTATCGAAAACGCGAATACGGACTCCCGTACTTGAGTATTTAGAAATGGTCTAAAAGTCTGCAGTCTATTAACTGACTTCAGCTAACAATGTTAGCGCAGTGTCAGGAATCCTTTATTAATAGTAATTAAAAAAATAAATAAATAAAAAAATCACACAGTAATAGTACATCAAAGATACTGAAGTTTTGCCCATCCCATTCTTCTTATGAAGCAGTGTTGGAATTTCCAAGTAAGAAATGCATTCCTGCCCGTGCAGTGCTGGCTCTGTTGTGCTGGCTCTGGGTCCATTGTGTAACTGACGCCACCAAAATTAACAGGACACTTACATTAGAGCCTCTTATTGTGTGTTTTGTTTGGGTTTCCAGCAGTCAGAATGAGAGAAACTGTATTAATCCCAGATGGAAATTGAGTAAAAAAAAAAAAAGTTAAAAAAAAAAAGAGCAGCGGGTCATACTCGAACTCAGGCTGGCCGCTCTCAGCCATGCGCCCAAGTGCGTTTAGCCTTTAGCCTAAATCGGAAAAGACTGCCGTGTATTCTATTTATTTCAATAAAGTAACTGTATTCTGATTACCGCCTATTTAAACGGTAACTGTAATGGAATCCAGTTACTCATTTTGTACTTTAAATACATAACACCAGTATATATATTCCTCCCCAACACTGTGTGGTAAGTCTGTACAAGTACTAGTGGGAAATGGTGGTAATGATGAATATGGTAAATCAATAGTGTGTTGAGCAGGGATAGGGATTAATAAGTGTGAATAAACTTCTTTCAACTCCATTTCAGACTTAATGATTGAGAGGTTATTACATGTCATTGACATATAGTGTATGTTGTTTGAGCACATATCTGTGTGAATGTGTATACATATGTGTGTGCACATGTGTATATGCAGCTGTGTATATGTTAAATAAAAGGTTGTCGTCATCATCATCATCATCATCTGAACTCACCTTTGCTATCTTGACAAAGTGACTCAGTATCTCTGCTCGGATTTTCAGCGTCTGGGCAGTTAAGATTTCTCTCACCAGCCAAAAGCTCACCTAAAACACACAAATATAATTTGAAACACAGGCACATGTTCACACACACATACACACAAAACACACGATTTGGATTGACAAGTCTGTTTATTTAGGATTTTCACAATTCCACAGATTTTGACAACTCATAACACACACACACACACACACACACACACACACACACACACACACACACACACACACACACACGACACACACACACACACACACTCCAAATTGAAGACAGAAGACAACTAGTGATGTATAGTGTAGTACTGTAAAATACAATGAAACAACATGAAATTTCTAATATCAAAATGAAGATAATTTTATTTTTAGTCAGTTCTCATGTTGGAGTGTATATTTTTTAGATGAGCCTCTAATAAAAACTAAGAAAATAATTTTGTTAAATATAGGCATACTTTTCATTTTCAAGACCTATTTGCCCTGTCTTCCTACAATTCTGAGGCCTACTCCCTTGGAAGAATTTGAAAATTAAGAGCCAAAATATGCATATATATATATATAACAAACGTACTTAACTAGTTATAACCAGAATAGTTACACTAATGTTTGAAAAAAAGTGCAGTGAAAGTTAGCTGGCTGACATTTTTAAATATAATACATCTTGATTTTAAAGAACCGTTAAAAAAAACCTTTTAAAAAACAAAAAATAAGAGCTCCAAGGGGAAAGAAAGACTCTAGCTTGTGAAAAGTCCATTTCAATAGTAATTACACCAGATCTACCAAGATTAGCAAATGGGGAATATAGAAGGTAAAGTGCTTACTTGACTGTGAAATGTAGTTATAGGTTTTAAATAAGAGAAAAAACAGCATTTATCTTCACCAGTAATGCATCATAGATTGAATCCATCAGTACTTTTCATACAAAAACAATGATGAAGATGAAATTTGTCATAATTGATAGAGTGCATCTTCCTGGTTTTAACCCTTTAAGACCTACCATAGAACTAAGTCCGCCAGAGCTTACTTTATATTTTTACATGCTGTAGTGCCATTTTTGGGAGCATTTCAAGTTGCTATACATCAATACAACTGTTATAGCCCAAATTTTAATAATATTTTTGCATTAAATCCATAGTAACCACATAAATTGCAAAAAATGCAATAAACTACAGAAAAATTTAAAATCGTTTTTGTTTTGTTTTTTACATATATTTCTAATTAGAGAAATTTAAGAGGTTTATCCCTCAAAACTTTAAATACAAAAAAGTTGCAAAAAATAGTTTACAACCACAGGAAATTTATTTTGAGTGTCTTCATAGTTTTATTTTTGAGATACACCAATTTTTATATACTGCAGAAAAACGAAAAACAATCCTATAATGCAAATTTGCAAAGAAAACAGCATGTGCATCAAAATAAACTATTTAAAGCTGTGCAATGTGAGTTCTAAGCATCCCAGAAACTATTCAGAAAAGCATAAAGTCAAACATGACTTTTAAAAACACCAGTATAGGCTTTTAAGGCCTAAAAGTAAAAAACTACATTTTCTGCGAAAATGACATCACTTCCGGTTTCAGGCAGGTAATGGCGGACATGCGATCGTTCGCGTTGACGTCTATTTCAATGTAGGAAGTGTTACAAACAGCTGATCGGATCGGCAAAGCGTGTTTCTGGAATATTATGTTTTTGTTCCTGCAAGCGCTTTTTATGCAATTTTTGCAAAGCTATATGTGGAAGGAAACTCCTCCGGTTTCATATGCAAAAAAAATTATTGCGCTAGCTTACGTGGTTCCGGTTCTACAAGGATTTAAAAATAGATCAAAATGGAGCATGCCCGCTCCGACTGGCTTTAAAGGGTTAACTAATGACCTTTGAGCAGCATCAAGTTTTTTATTAACATCAAAGCCAAGAATGTTCACTATGAGCTTTATAGTTGAAAGAACTATAGTTTAAACTCCCTAGTTTCATTTTCATTTTTTAACTCCATATATTGAACTTAAAAATGCTCAAAAATATTGCGTTCAATGTAAAGCTAAAATAAAAGTGGGCCGTCAAGTCTGACACCTTAGTATTAATAGATTTGAACCTTGAATGTCCCTACCTGACCAGAAGACTAAAACAAATATGTGCTTTAGAAATCGTATGGGACAAACCTGGTTGAACCGACGTGTGAATGCAACCACATTGGGGGCTAAACTGTGTTTCTCCTTCCCACTCCATCCACAACTAGCCAGCTCCTGCAGAGTAGGAAAGAAGAAAAATTATTTCAGGAATCACCAATAGCACCTGGAGTGTGGTTGCTGACACTATATATATTTATGCATTTTACTAAACTAACAAGGAATGATCACACCACATTATTCGTGGTCAGCAACACTTGTGAAACTAGGAATATATGGGATTCCCCTGCTGCAAAATAACAAACTGCCATTTAGGGTGTTTTCACACAGGTTTAACTGAATTTTTCCCCATCAAACTTTGTTCAGGTGGTTATTGCTTTTTTATTGCTAGTTAGCCTCATATATCCGGTCCGGTTGGAGGCTTTGCTGCTGTGTTTGAAAACAGATCCTCATGTCATTCTATGAAAGTTTGACATTTTTCATTGTCTCAAATACAGTTGATTGAAGCAGGGAATAAGAATAATTTTCCCATTTTGTGCATTTGTATCATCTGCTTTTTCAAGGAGTTCAAGTGACACTCTAATCTTCCACTATGAAGCTGTCCAGATTAGTTATAGTTGATGCGATGACTCTGACCTCTTTACCAGGACCTTTATCAGTATCATGGATTTTTTTCATTTTACCCAATATGTGTCTGGCCCCACACATAGTAAAGGATAGATACTGGACCTTGTTTTTACTTTGGGTTTCAGAGTGGCATTTGTTCTGAGGAAGTTTTTACTTCATCCTTTCTTTTTAAGTTCTCTCTCCTTGTGTCTTCGTCTCCTGTTTGCCATGTAGTTAGCTCTCACATCCTAAATCTCTTTTCTGCAGTTAAATTATTCTGATTCTTTTAATTTATTTTTATATCCTTTTAATGATGTTGATCTCTCAACAAATTCATTATCATTATGTTTGCAATGACCCATGATGTTAACGGGCTTGTTGTAGAAGTTTTTTTTCCTTTTCTTTTTTTGTTACTCTGGAAGTCAACCATCTCTTTTTCTTGCTTACATTCCGAAAGAGGTCATTTCTGCTGGACCTTTCCACAAAGCTCCTCACCTCACCCTGTATTCCAATTCCACTCCACCCTTTATACACCCAATCAGTGCAGTGTCAAAGAACTTCTGCAGGTGGCGTGTTTTACTCCTATATTGGAAATCTGCAATCCACATCAGTAAACAGGAATGGAGATACGACTGTCCTCTATGGTGCGCCAGCATTACTAACCACCACGTCAGACAGGGTGCCCCTAGCTGCACCAACTGAGGCCTATCTGACATATATATACAGCAATCCAGGAAACATTAGAAGTGGTGAAATCCATTCTGAGCTTCTTCTCACTCATCTTCTCACTATTCAGGTGAGAATGAGTATTCTGTAATAGGTAAATAACAGCATCATTCACCCCCACAAGAGGATGATAAGCAAACTTAAGAGATTCAAGATCATGTAAGCTAAGCCAGCCAAGAACCAGTCTCTCCAACACCTGCATGACATGTGACATCGTGATAAAGATTTATAAAGAAGGAATTGCTTTCTTTGGTACTGGCACAAAACATGATGTCTAGCACTGGTACCTTTTTCTGTAAAAGACTCAAGTTGAAGAGTTGCTGCAGGATGCCAGGCAGCTGGGTAGCACATAAATTTAGGAGCTTTGGAATGATGCGATCATTCCTGAGCCTTGGCTTGGTCCAGCCTTTCCAGCTGTCTTCTTACCTGGCCAACTGTCACAGTCGTGTTGAGAACTGTATAATGGGCTGAGGGCGTGTTAAGGCTGTATTTAGTGTTTAGGGTAAACAGGGATTCAAATACTAAACCGGTTGAAAAACAGATTCATTTCACTGACTCTGTCCAGGATGCCCCCCTGCTGCTATTAATCTTTTGGGTTTAGGCCAGTAACATTCCAAGTCAGCAGTAGGACAACTTCAACACTTGGACATGGATTGATCTACCCAATAGGCAGCTCAAACCCAATAGGCAGATCAAACCATTCCAGGTGTTTGCATAGAAGGTCATATTTAAATAAACTTTAATAGATTTCTAGTAAGTCTAAAATTAACTCACTGAAAGTACAAAGGCTAAGTTATAGTATACACTATCAGTGAAAAATGTAGCAATTTTATTGAAAAGGTTAAAAGACAAAGTGAAAGTTACAATATTTCCATGTGATTGTTTTTTATATATATATATATTCTTATTCTCATCATTCTCTTCATTTTTGTACAATAGGAGGAGACAAATCATCCATCTTTTATACAGCCATAGAATAGAATAGAATAGAATAGAATAGAATGTCTTTATTGTCACTATACAGTTGTACAATTAGATACATTGTACAGGGCAGTTTGTTATGCTTTGCAACTAAGGAAGCTGCTGCAATGGGCTCCCACTCTCAACGTGCCACTCACCAAGTATTCAGATTCATGTTTAATTAGATCTGGATATGTGGACAGATGTAGAGATTAACTGCTGGAAAGTCCTAAATGCTTTGCTCAAAGTATTTAAAACTCAGATGAATCAACAGTTGCAACCTGAAATTTTTGCTTCGCTTCTCTCATGGCAGAGGCATGTGTGGAGAGTTCTCTAAGTCTTGGATTTCATTAACCCCAGGCTTGTTTTTCAGGCTGTGTACTGCTCCGCTTGCACTGTGCCTCAATAGTTGTGCAGCCCATATACAAACAGTCAGCAATGGAGCCCAGTGATTTTAACATTCCAGCATTCCAAGGGAGCTTTTACTTTGACTTAACACTTTCTGTCACACATACACTCACTATGATGGATGCACTAGGGGCAATTTGGGGTCAGAAAATCTTTCTCCAAGCAAACTTTAGCATGTGAACTTGAGGAGCTCAGAACTAAACTAACATTTGATTGGTAGACTACCCACTGGACTACCTCAGCCACATGCAACTGAATAATTGAAAAATGAACAACGAATGACAACTACTTTGTTAAGAACCCCACCATATTCAGCTCAAGACCCAAATGCGTTATGGAAAAAGAAGGTGACCCAAGAGAAGCCTTTGTTGTCCAAAAATTACATCCATCCAAAACTACAGTTTACCAGAAAGCATAAAGACTGACCAGACTTAGTAGAGATAACTGGCACAAACCAAAGACAGATTTCAATGAAGAAGCAGATGCATGGTGGAGGAAGTGTTCTGCTTTTGCTGTGTTACAGATTGGGCAGTTTGTGGTTTCTAATATCCATTTGAATTCTGTAACACTTCAAAAGCAGTGGTGCAAGATAATGTCGTCGTCTGTCTGAAACTTGAAGTTGGAAGAGAAATAGATCCTAACCTAGCACTAGAAAATTTCTCCAAGGAATATATCAAAAAGAAGAATTTGAGGGTTATATAATAGCCGAATTAAAGCCCAGATTTGAAACAACAGATCTGAACCTGGAGGACTACCGTTCAACTAGTCAATACCAGAGGCTGGTGATTAATTATGCAAAGAGCCTTCAAGAATGTATTTTTCCAAAGGGAGCAATACATTATGCAGCAATGACAAACTTATATATATTCAGTCCTTAATAACTTACTGCCATGTCAAAATCTATCAACAAATATCTTACAAATGCATAATATCTACAACAAAAAGCATATGCTTTGCTCCACACACTCATGGTAATCCTTTTGCATTTCAATCCATCAACACAATATTAAAAAGCCAAGATAATACAAATGTTAGAAATTATTAAATTGAGGTAAACAAAACACAACAAAAACAACAGAAGTACATATGTGCTTTTGTTTGGTAAAAAAAGGAATGAATTGTTTGAACCTGATTCAAGTGACATTTGGGGGAAGCCTGAACACATGTTGGATGGGCTTTATAGTACACCTACCACTGACAGATGTGAAACCCATGGCTGCAAAGTCATAACTTTCTGACTGACATTTAGAGATAAAACTACTTGGGGTGCCATTTTAGAAGAACAGATTTGTGTACAATTACGTAATTAGGGGATTTCATCCCGAGCCAATTCCAAATCTCAATTTCTTTCCATTTCTCTCCCCGCTAATCCTCCTGGCACATAGCATCTGAAGACACTAATGCTTCGAGATTTTTCAGCCAGGAACAGTGAAAGGAAGTTTACTGACTAATGCAGGCTAAGCAGCATTTCCAAACATGGAGGACAATCCAGGTTCAGCTGACTGGAGCAGCTGTGAAGACCATCTTGAGCAGAAATACTTGTAATCAGTGAATGAGGAGGAGTAGCTCTCTGAGGGGAATCCTGCATTTTGGTTTTTCACCTTTTTTTTAATGGTAGAGAAAGATGGCTTTCAATGAAGCGCAGTAAAGGTTTGTCTGGCCAAGAGTCACACCACTGAGTGCACTGTTATTGCCACTATATAGGTGATACCATTTAGCAATCATAATCATATTGCCTAAGAACAGTGTTCATATTCCATGGGACTGTTATACATCTAAGCTCATAGAAATTAATCAGAAACTGCTTGAAGAATTCAGTAATAATCAACTATTAGGCTTATGACACTCCACAGTTGGCATTGAGAATGAAACTGTGAAATGATTTTTAGAAGACTACCCACCACTTTAACATCACAAGCATTTCTTACCTCTGGTTGTATGGCTTTAAACACTGGTGCATCCATCAGGGTGATTTGACTCTGAAAGAAAAAAAAAAAGTTACATAAACATATACACACACACACACACACCAAGTCCGATTAAAATTATATAATGGACATGGACATAATGTTTAGACTCTTGGCTTTCATTTAAGGGTATCCACATTCAACTGGATAAAGGGTTTAGGAGTTTCACCTCCTTAACATGTGCCACCCTCTTTTTAAAGACACCAAAAGTAATTGCAAATAATTGAACATTAAAGGCTATTTTATGGGCAGGTATGGGCAATTCCTTTATTATGTCATTGCCAATTAAGCAGATAAAAGCCCTGTAATTGTTTTGAGGTGTGGTGCTTGCAGTTGATAGATTTGGAAGATTGCGCTGTGAATGGACAACGCGCTGTCAAAGGAGTTCTCCCTGCAGGTAAAACAAGCCATCCTTAAGCAGCGAAAACAGAAAAGAAAAAAAAAAACATCAGAGAAACTGCCACATCATTAGGAGTGGAAAAATCTACAGTTCTCAGTACATCCTGAGACAGAAAGAAAGCACTGTTGAACTCAGCAATGCAAAAAGACGTCCTGGACGTCCACGGAAGACAACAGCGGTGGATGATCGGAGAATCATTTCCATAATGAAGAGAGACCCCTTCAAAACAGCCAAGGAGGTAGACGAATCAATATACAAGTCTACCATAAAGAGAAGACTGCAGCTCATGATCCAAAGCATACCACATCAGAGGTAGTGTGATGGTTTGGACGTGCGTGGCTGCCAGTGGCCCTGGGACACTACCATTTATTGATGATGTGACACAAAACAGAAGCAGCCGAACTAATTCTTAGTTGTTCAGGGAAATACTGTCTGCAGCAAAATGCAGTCAAATTGATTGGGTGGCATTTCCTGATACAGATGGATACTGACGCAAAACATACAGCCAAAGCAACCCAGGAGTTTATTAAAGCAAAGAAGTGGAATATTCTTAAATGGTCAAGTTAGTCACCTGATCTTAACGCAACTGAGCATGCATTTTGAAGAGTAAACTTCGGACAAAAAGGTCTACAAACAGGCGGAGCTTTAAAAAGGAGGAAACCCACCATCTGGTGATGTCCATGAGTTCAATACTTCATGCTGTCACTGGCATCAAATGGGTTTTCAACCAAGTATTAGAAATGAACATTTTATTTTCAGTTATCTAATTTGTCCAATTATTTTTGAGCACCTGAAATGAAGGAATTGTGTTAGAAAATGCTCTAGGTCATCACATTTTTATGCAGTCTTTTTGTTCAACCCACTGAATTAAAGCCGAAGGTCGGCAGTTTAACTGGAGTCGAAGATGTTTCATTTAAAATTCATTGTGGTAATTTAGAGAACCAAAATGAGGAAAAAAGTTGTCTCTGTCCAAATATTTATGGACCTAACTGTATAGCTAGTGTTACAGAAGAAGAATAGGCATAAAGAGAGTAACATTTCTACATGACAGTTTCTACAACATCTCTATCAGCTCAACAAATATCAGCAAAGACATGGACTGTTCGTGCGCAGTTTGTCACACAGTGTTTTGCTAACTAAAGGTCCAGCTGCTAAAGGTCCAGAGAGAGAAAAAAATGAGTTAACTTCACTGAGAGATGGAGAAACATAAGAAAAGATAGGAGAGAAGGGGAAGAAGAGAGGGTACATTTAAAGGTAAGGACTCCTCAGTGACACTTAACACATAAACTGAAGATTTAAAGATTACATGTAATGTTGCATTAAAATTCTGAGTACTTTTTTGCAGGATTAGCTTAGCTTTAATGTAGTGAATTCACATTGAAAAACTGTGTTGGACTGATACACAGTGGCTGTGATGGTCAGTGTTAGGTAGCAGAGATTAATTTACATTTAAACTGATGACGCTTAGATTCTTTCACTGAATTCACTCATTATGTTGTTATGTATGTTGTTGTATGCTGTTGGTGTAGGAAATGGAACTCAGCACAGATAGCTGTCACACAGCTTCTTAGATCTTGTTGAATTCAGTTGTGAAAATTCACAAACAGCAACAGGTCAGCTGATAACAGCTTCTCTACTAAGAAAACCTATTGGAGCTCACAATATAAATTATTGTAAGCTGTTCGTATTTTCTCCAAGCTGTGCCACTACAAAAGATCTTAGTCTTGCCCCACCTGCTAAATCTCACTGTAACCGTTCACTGTTTCTATTTCGTAGTGGAGGCAGCAGAAGACATTTTTTTTGTTTTTATTCTCTTTTTTTTTAAATTCTGCTTGTGTTCCTAAATAACAGATTCAAACTGAGTACATTCATTAGAATTAGAATTTAGATTCAAAAAACATTTGAATTCTCATGTACTAATATCATACTTATATATATAAGTATATTAATAAAGCAGAATGTCCAGTTGTCTGTGCATAAAAAGAGATTATACTTTTAACTTTCTTACTTTGAGTAGATTACAGAGACTGTACTTGTTCACTTTTACTTGAGGAAAGAGGTAAAATCAATGCTTCAACTTTAACTGGAGTATTTTTTTAACACAGGTATTTCAGCTGCAGACGAGGGGTGATGCAATGGGTTCAGGGCAGTGCTAGTTGGGGCTGATTGGTGCTGCTAGTAATAACTGTCTAGTCTTGCTTCTTTTATTTAATAGAATGCTGAGATAAGGCAAGCAAAGCTGCAGAGTGGAAGCAGTATCCTAGTCAAATGCCCAAACCAGCTCAAGTGGCACTTTTCGATGTGGAGGAGTAGTATCTCTACTTTGATCCTCTCTCTGATGGCTGAACCCCTCATCTCTAAAGGAGAAATAGGGTGAGGAGAAAGCTTACCGTTTCTATCCACAGCCCTGTTCGTTAGGTTACTACCAAAGCCTGTGACCACTGGTGAGAGTGTGAACATAGGTTGACCAATAACACGACAACTTCGCTTTTACGCTCCTGTCTCTCTTCTCCGTGGCGGACTAGGACTGGTGTAGCATGTGCATAACTGCAGCCTCAGCCCCAGTCCATCTCTCCCCTCACACATGAACAAGACTCCAAGCTACTTAAACTCCTCTACTTGGAACAGCAATGTCTCTGACCCAGAGTGGGCACTCCACTCCACCCTTTTCTGGCTGAAGACCATGGCCTCAGACTTTGAGTTTCTAATTCTCACACCAGCCACTTCACACTCTGCTGAGAACTGCTCCAGTGTAAGATAGAGACCACGACCTGATGAAACGAATAGGACTACATCATCTGCAAAAACAGAGATGAGATTCTGAGGTCACCAAGGCAGATGCCTTTCACCAGTTGGCTACACACCTAGATATTCTGTTTATAAAAATTATAAACAGAATTGATGAAAAAGGGCAACTCTGGTGGAGTTCAATACCCACTAGAAATGAGTTAGACTTATTGCCAGCAATGTGGACAAAGCTCTCACTGCAGCTGTACAGGGACCGAATGGCTCATAACAATGGGCCAAACACCATATACTCCAGCACCACCCCCCACGGGATACCCTGAGGGATATGGTCGAATTCCTTTTACAAATCTATAAAACACATGTAGGAACACACCATTCTTAAAGATTGGAACCACCACCTTAGTCTGCCAATCCTGAGACAATGGCCCAGATTGCCACAAGCGCTGCAGAGGTGTGTCCAGCAATACAGCCCTATAACATCCAGAGAATTCAGGAATTTAGGGTGAATTTCATTCACCAAGGCCACCAAGGTGTTGTTTAACTACCAAGGTTATTATCGTTAACGAAAACTAACGAAATAACGAAAACTAGAAGTGAAAAAACATTTTCATTAATGGAAATAAAAATAAAAACAAAAAAAGGAAAACTAACTAAAACTGTAATGAGTGTTCACAAAACTAACTAAAATTAACTGAATTTATAGCAAAAATGTGTTTAGTTTTCATTGATGTGTGCGTGTCATACAATAGTCAAGGGTGAAAATGAAGTTTAGTTTCCAGATTTTTTTCTTGCTGTCTCATTATGCCAGCAGGTGGCAGTACGTTAGTCGAGTCGTCTGTGTTGCTGCTCCGTCCACGCGCAGAATCATGTCAGGAAAAGTCGGGAGAAAGCGCCAGAGTCCAATTTGGGATTACTTTGAATATGACTGTGTTTTGGATAAAGCAAGTGTCTTGTAGTGGAAAGAGACAAATTATGAGGGACATTTCTAAAGGGAAAAAAATCCCACAAACCTTAAAGTGCACTTGAAAAGCTCACACAAGAAGGCTAACCTAGCTTACCTTGAGAAGGTAAGGGAGCACACTCAACCCTCATCCCCAGAAACAGAAGCTAACCCCAGGCAAGGCAGCGTGATGCATCCCGAGACAACAGGACTGGGATATCTACATAACTGTGTGAGTCAATTGCCTTCAAAAAGTTTATCAATTCACTTGAACCAAAATTAGAACACCCGGTGCTGCAAGAGTTAATAGTCTCATTGGGGCCAAGATATACATTTTATAGTTGCCTGGTATCAATGGTTGTTCATCTGCCTTTATTTATTTATTTATTTATTTATTTATTTAAAGAACCCATAGGTGGGAATGTGAGTTGTCTGTCTCTGCGTGTTAGCCCTGCGACAGACAGGCGACCTGTGCAGGGTGCAGGGTATGGTAGCTGGAATAGCAACATACCCAAGGATAAGCAGAAGAGAATGACTGATATGATGAAACTGGGATTTTGTTACACTTAATTATTGCAAACACAACTAAAACTATAACTGAAACTAATCAAAACTAAACTGAAACTAAGGATTTTCAAAAAATAAAAACTAAACTAAACTAGCAAACAATTGGTAAAAACTAATTAAAACTGATATAAAATTGAAAATCTGAAGTCAAAACTAAATAAAAATAAAAACTAATGAAAATTGCAAAACTATTAAAACCCTGTTAACTACCTGAGTGACTTTGCCATTCAGACTCAATGTCCTCAGCCTCCCTCAGAACACTATTAAAGTTCTGCCAGAGGTGAGAGTTGAACATCTTGTGGTCAGGGGCTTCTGCCAGGTGTTCCCAATGCACCTTCGCTATATGTTTTGGTGTGCCATGTCTGTCCAGCGTCCTCCCTTGCCACCTGATCCAACTCACCACATGTGGTGATCAGCTGACGGTTCAGCTCCTCCTTCATCTAAGTGTCCAGAACATTATGGCCAGAGATCTAGTGCCACGTGCACTTATTGACATCTTTATGTTCAAATATTGTGTTCATTATTGACAAAGTCCAATAAGAGAAAACCACTGAGGTTCAAATCAGGAAGTCCATTCCTCCCAAATGGAATACAGTCAATAACCCCACCCAGCAACGCCAAGAAGGCTGAATACTCTGAACCATCATTCTGCACATAAGCAGACAGTCAGGACTCATTCCTTGGCCTGAAGATACAGGGAAACAACCTTCTCGGCCCAATGGAGAAAACACCAAAAGTAGCGACATCAAGGCGACGGGATACAAGGATACCCACCCCAGCTTGCCACCTCTTACGAAGGGGAAGTCCAGGCTGGAACAGAGTCCATCCAGTCTCCTGAAGACTTCCAGAGCCCTCACCATGCATTGAGGCAAGCCTGATTATATCAAGCTGGTATTGACCTCAGGCACTAGCTAAGGCTCCTTACCCACCAGAGAGGCGACGTTCCATGTCCCAATTACCAGCCTCAATAGCTGGGGGGATCAGTCTCCCAGGGCTTCCAACCTTGACCGCCGCCCAGCAGGTGGGTGGTGGGTGTACAGGAGGTATTCCTTATTCACAAATGGAAAAATCTTGGAACAGTTGTTGGCCTACTAAAATTATTCTAAGACCACATTAGTGATTCAAGAGGTTACCAAAGCACCTAGAATAACATTTAAAGAACCGCAGGCTTCAAATGCCTCGGTTAAGGTCAGTCTTCATGAATCAAACAGTAACAAAGAGACCAAGCAAAGATGTCATCCATGTCATCCAAAGTGAAAAACCACAAGTGACCACAAACACAAAAGTTTGTCTCACATTTTCTAAAAAACATCTTGACAAAACCAAAGACTTTTGGGAAAATATTCTGTAGACTAACAAGACAAAAGCTTAACTTTCTGGAAGGTTTCTGACCCATTACATTTGGCATGAAACTAAGAGCATGTCATGAAAAGATCATCATACCAACAGTAAAACATGGTGGTGGTAGTGTGATGGTTCTGGGGCTGCTTTGCTGCACCTTTGTTGGATGACTTGCCTTAACTGATGAAACCATGAATTCTGCTCTCTACCAGAACATCCTGAAAGACAATGTCCACCTATCAGTTTATACCCTGAAGCATCATTTTCATCCAGAAAATGATTCGGAGCATATCACTAAATCTACCTCTGAATGGCTCCAAAATAATGAATTACTTAATTTAAAAAAATCAAATAGAGGTTTATGAGTGACCTAGCCAAAGTCCTGAGTTTAATCCAGTTGAGATGCTTAGGCATGACCATAAACGGGCTGATAATGCTTGAAAACCTTCTAAAGTGGCTAAAGTATAACAATTCTGCTAAGATGAGTGAGCTAAAATTCCTTCACAGCAATGTGTAAGACTCCTGACCAGTTATTGTAAATACCTGACTGCAGTTGTTGCTCCAAAGGGTGGCACAAGGAGATTTAGGGAGGGAATTACTTTTTTCAACACAGTGCCAGATAGGTTTGGATAGCTTTTTACCTGTAATTGTACAGTACCTACATGATGTTTTTATTCATTCATTTATTTGTATTATTTTTGAAAACCTTAATTAATAATGAAAACTTTAACGGAAAAGCATGTTTTTTCCTATTTTAAATGTATTTATGTTAACATGGCACAGCTGTTCTACTTTGTTTCCAGCATATCACTTAGTCCATAGCAGGATGCTTGAAAAATCCAGTGTACCAAAAAAGATTGGAAAATAAAATATATCACAATCATGTTTGATTTAGGGCTTGGATTTTAATTTCAACGACTTTTGCTTCCAGCAATTATGAAAATAAATTAACCAGGATAAAAGGGTTAGTCTTTACTGTTCATTCTGTATTCCTTTCCTTCAGATCCACCCACTTTTGACCAGGTCAAGACAAGATGACCAAAAGAGATGACTCTTTCTGTTATATATAATTTTTTTCAATTAAATTACACTCAAAGTTGTAGAAGCTCTGCTGTAGTAAAAGAAAAAAAAATCTGAATCTTGAATTCCAAGTAACAGTAAATTATTTTTATTGTTAAGCTAAGCTAATTTTATTGTTGAGCTAATTACTCATGTTAACCAAGTATCATCCAAAATTATCATTATGTTCTTTGGTATAATCAATTTAGCTTAGGCTGCCACCTAAAAATCTGAAAATAATGTTAAATGGCAAGGTTTTTAAAGAAAATGTACTTAAATTAAATTTATATGCCATTCACTATCATCTATTCCATAATATCTATTCCATGATATTCTCTTATAGAAGTTATTCATTAACCTCATAAACTAATTTAATCAACATACTTACAGCAAACTCCTCAGGTGTCACCTTAAGCACATCAAAGACGACCGCATCGTAGCTCTTGGCGTAGTTCACATAAGGTCCTTGCAGAGAGTCAGAGCTGCTGCTGGCCTGACAGAAACAAATTTCACCATCAATTTATCACAGAATAACTCAAGATACAATAGTGTCACAATTCATGCAAGACAATCCTCTGATTTGTAACTAAAATATTTTACGTTTTACTGTGCCAGATTAGGCAATTGTGATTTGCTGCCAGCCATACTTGTGTGGTAAGTTGTTTCTTCACTGTTTCACAGTAACAATGAAAAAAGTAGTGACTTTGGTTAGGAATGTCAAAAATTAATACATAATAATTGATACCAAAATTACCATCAGATTAAATACTCCTTTACAACAATACCAATAGTTCTCTTTACATTCTTCAGTAGACACAGATTGCAGTGGAAATGCCCCCCAAATTATCCTCAATTATCCACTATAAATATATACAGGTATAGGGATCAATAAAGTATTCTGATTCTGATACAGTACATGTGCAGTACATTTTTGCATATCAATATTATTAATTTTAATATTTTTTAAAGAAGTATTTACAAATGTATTATCAACACAAATCATATGATGAGTAAAACTTGATGCTCTGTCGAAGAAAGTACTTCTGATGCTTAAACAAATAAAATAATAAACTTTTCTCTGTGATTTATATAATTATTGAGCCACCCAAGAGCAGCATTGAAATTTCGAATAAGGCCATGTCCTCTGAGTTTAGAACTTTCTTCAAATGTAGAAAATAATTTGTTAATGAGCTCAGAAACACAAACCCACATTGTGACAAGAATAAGAGTCTAGATTCACAGGGGGTATTAAAATATTAATGAAAAATTAAGGTGGAGTTTGGCACTTAAGCTTAGGCTTATTGCGTTTGGTCATTCTCAACCAGTGAGTAAAATAAGTACTGAAAATGCCACAAATTTCTTAACTAAATATTTTTTAGAGGTGCCACTTGAAACTGGCATGTGTGTAGATTTAAATTTTTTATTGCAGTAGTTGTCATGAATTCTCAACAGCATGCATCACTCATAATGTACCGCACAATGAGGCACACTTTAAACACTGGATTTTTACTCTACTATAAAGAATCCAGCTGACAGGTATCAAAATGCATACTTCGTATACTGGAGAAAACGACTAGAGGACTATATTGAACACTACTACGGCAACTACGGAATTGTTTCAAACACAACCCAACAAGACACCACAAAGCTATTTCCATCTAATTAAATTTTATTTATACTGGCAAGATAAAGATCCTACAAATATTGGAAGAAACAACCTCCTATGAGCAAGCATTTGGTAGTGGTGGGAAGAAAAATCTCCCTTGAAACAGTAAGAAATTTCCAGCAGAACCAGGCTGAACACTGTAACAGAAGGACCCGATGCCCAAAGCTTTGCAAGTTAAGCAGAAGTTAATTTATGGTGTTTTCTTCCCAACAGTCTGCTTGTACAGCCTTCTGCCTGTGCACCTCCTTCAGCTCCTCACACCACACAACTCTAACCTCCAGGCCCCGGCAGTTACTGAATTAGGGACATTGTGGTTGATTCTTGACTGGACCTTGGCTGGTCCTTGACGATAATGATATACACATATACATTGTTTTTTGCCACACAAAGGGAGAAAGTTAGATCACATAATTAAATAAAAACAAACAAAAACATACTTAAACTAGATTAGATAGGACTTTATTAATCCCTCGGGTGGATTCCTCCAGGAAATTCAGTAAAGTATTATACTTGTGTATCTAGATGCATATTAGGAAGTGAGAAAACCTTTACAATGCCAATTTGACATAATTTTTGGGTCTCACGATACAGAAGACAAAAGAGGCACAAAATTCTTTAAATTTCTCTAAATGAGAAATTAGAAAAAAGTGACATGAATACAGAAATTTCCTGGGAATTAAGGTATCTTTACAGTTCTCAGTTACGAGATTATTTGGTTCCTCCTGTTGGCCTTATCAGCAATATTACACAGTATTGGTCAGTCTATGGGAACATCTTTACACTATTAAACATTTATAACAACATTTGTATGATACATCACCAAACTCAACAGATAAAGGCTTTAAAAACAAAACTATAAGACACTGGTCATTAGAAGTGACATGGTTTTAAAAAACAAAAACAAAAAAAAAAACTTTGACTATCACCAGTGGTTTATCATTATTGTTATACTTGTTATTAATTATATTGTATTATTTGCCTTAATACAAGTGAGCAAATAATGTGTCCAAGAGTGATTCTTCTTTTAGTTTAATCACATGATATTAACCAACAGAGTGTTTCTGATCCAAGCGCCCGAGGACTTGAAATATGCCATGAAAGAATATGGTAACACATTAAATTATAATACAGGTATATCTATATGTTTAGTGTTTGTTTTAGTTATTTGTATTCATAAACAACACAATGGATCCATCTATCCATTTTCTTCCGCTTATCCAGGGCCGGGTCGCGGGGGCAGCAGCCCAAGCAGAGAAGCCCAGACCTCCCTCTCCCCAGCCACCTCCTCCAGCTTGTCCGGGGGAACGCCAGACACCCCATACTCCCGAGGTACCCCCCACAGGACCCCCTGAGGGACATGGTCAAATGCCTTCTCCAAGTCCACATGTATGTTAAATACTTAATTCAGTTTTATTTATAAAGTGTTCAAACAGCTGAGAGTACAGGGAGTGGGCTTGGAAAGCAGTGGGAAAGCAGGTAGGTGCTTGGTCATGAAGCATGATAAATGTCTCACTGGTCAGTAGATGGCTGAGCAAGATGGGTGGAGAATCTGAGAAACAAAGAACCATAGTTAGTACAAAGCAGATGACATGGAACCAACAAGACCACAAGTTGGTCTCAAAGTGTCTAAAATAATGTGTTTTTCTACTTCCACAGAGCCAGTGATGGTTGAAGATGGCTGAATAGATAGTTTGATTTCTAGTGATCCAAAAAAGAACTTGGAATGCATACATTTGTTTAAGCTGTGGAAAATCTATCTATCTAGAAATAAAGGTGTAGAAGTGTGTACCATGTATAGTGTAGTAACAAAATTCAGTGCTTGATGTAACTGAGTCACATGAGACATAAGCCATCAATAAGCTATCAATAAGAATAGGTCAAATAATAGAAAATAGACAATAAGCCATAAAGCATAAAAGCAGTGTTTCTCTATCTGTTGTGGAAGACTCTGGTTTGAAGGAAACTTACCAGAGGGCAGCAAGGAAGAACACCTCTTGGTCTTCTGCTTCCTGACTGGCTGGCTGGCCTTCATGCCTGTTCCTACCACCCCCCCAACCCTCCTTCACCCTCCTTTAGTTACAGTTATAGTTCTGCGACATGTTTCCGGAGAGAAGCGTTGCAAAAGCAAGTAAGCGGTTTGAGCAATTGAGCACTTGTATTCACTGATTCAAAAGGTTGTAATCACATTAGAATTGCAGATTTCCAGCTGTCAGTATATTTGTATAATATCAAATATAATATCATTGGGGGGGGGTTGTCATATGATTGTTTAGGTTTTCTCTGTATTGTTGTGGGTCTTTACCTTACAATAAACAGCGCCTCCAGGCAACTGTTGTTGTGATTTGGCGCTATATATTAAACGAACAGAATTTGATCAAAAACCAAAGAATTTGCATGAAAACAACAGAATTAGAATGTATAGAACAGAGTTTGAATTAAAGCCACAGAATTCTAAAACAAACAATAGAATTTGAATAACAAGAGTAGAATTAGAATGAAAACAACAGAATAAGAATGAACAGGGGTCCGTTCTTCGTACCTCGCTTACTACATCCAAGATCAAATGACACATCCAAGATCAAATCATCGCGCTAACTTTGAGCTCGCTATTCCGGTTCTCCGAACACACCTGTTGTTGACGATTAGTACAGCTGGATGAAGTAATGTGAGATCACTGGGTGGCTTAACAGGGGCTACGCATCGATAGTAGAAACATTGATCGGCAACCCTTTGATTGGTCGGCGAAAATGTCGAAGGAGCGCGCTCGGTATTTTTCGGCAGCAGAGCAAGAACTCTTGATTGAGGGATTTCAGGAGTTTCAGAGTTTAATTAAAACGCAAGGGAACACTGCAAAGGCTGCAAAAGCAAGGAGAGAGGGCTGGCAGAAAGTTGCTGACAAATTAAACTCGTAAGTAATTTAATAATAACAATAATAATGGAGTGGATTTATATAGCGCTTTTCAAGGCACCCAAAGCGCTTTACAATGCCACTATTCAGTCACTCTCACATTCACACACTGGTGGAGGCAGCTACGGTTGTAGCCACAGCTGCCCTGGGGCAGACTGACAGAAGCCAGGCTGCCATATCGCGCCATCGGCCCCTCTGGCCAACACCAGTAGGCGGTAGGGTAAATTTATTATATTATATTACATTATATCCTCTTTCACATTAGAGCCACAACAGGACCCACTAGAACATGGGAACAAGTAAAAGTGAAATATAAGAATATTCTACAGAATGGTAATATTTATCACTTATATTGCTTTTAGTCTCTTGGAAAGAGACCCTGAAATAATCTGTTTGTTTATAACAGCAACCAAGAAAAGGGCAGAGCAAAAAAAGACAGGTGGTGGTCCTGCACCCCCTCGTCAACAAGTTGGTTAAGTAAATAATACCCTCACGGGAAAATCGATATCTCTCAATGAGCACACTGTCGCGCTGAGCTAAAGGATCCTGTCTGTCCCGCAATATACGCTGAATTCTGAGGACTCTCCTTATCAATCTCGCACCTTCCGCAATGGGTGCTCGCGTATACGGACAGGACATGGCTGCGACAGCTTCCCAAATCCACCTTCGCTTTTATAGCCGTGGTCTCTCATCTTGATTACATGAAGTAATTTACTATTACTACTCTAAAATATGAATTACATCTGAAATAATCAAATACATGAAATAGAATGTTAATAGTACATTTCCCTTTTTTTAGGAAATGACCTGTATGTATCTGTATGAAATCAATAAAAGGATCAAGTACTGCATTATCTTTAGTTACATTGATAATATTTATTTATGGAAAAACAGTGGTAAAATATCGCTGTTGCTTTCGTATACATGAAGCGGACATACCTGAGTGGCCGCGATCTAATCCTGTTTACATAAAGTAAGCCTGCTCCCAAGCAGGTTTACGCTCATGGCTCTGTTGCTATGGCAGCAAGTCCTGTATGAGCTTCGGAGAAACGAACGATCCAAGATCACGCGAGATCGTCAACAATCAAATCCAGCTAACTTACTTAGCGAGGTACAAAGAACGGACCCCAGACCAGAATTTGAATGAAAACAACAGAAGTTCCATCCATCCATTCGCTTCCGCTTATCCTTTTCAGGGTCGCGGGGGGCGCTGGAGCCTATCCCAGCTGTCATAGGGCGAGAGGCGGGGTACACCCTGGACAGGTCGCCAGTCTGTCGCAGGGCCAACACACAGGGACAGACAACCATTCACACTCACATTCACACCTAGTGGCAATTTGGATTATTCAATTAACCTAACCCCACAAGCTGCATGTCTTTGGACGGTGGGAGGAAGCCGGAGTACCCGGAGAGAACCCACGCAAACACGGGGAGAACATGCAAACTCCACACAGAAAGACCCGGCCTGATGTTGGAATTGAACTCAGGACCTTCTTGCTGTGCCAAACAATGGAAGTTGAGAACAAAAAATGCAATTTGAATGAAAACAACGGAAGTTTAAAACAAACAACAGAATTAAAATGAAAACAACGGAATTAAAATGAAAACAACGGAATTAAAATGAAAACAACAGAATTTGAATGAAAACAACAGAATTTGAATTAAAAAAGGAAAAAAAAGAAAGAAAATTGAACTGAACTGAATTAGAGATTCAATAATACCTACTGCCTTTTAATATGCTGTGCAATGCATTATAATGCAATAGTAGTGACACGGCGTTATATCCAGTCACACCAAGCCAAATGCAGGCACGAAAATGTTTTCCAGGCAGTTTTCCCTGGAAAGCTTTTTAAATAAAAATCTCAAATAACTGCTTAACACTTTAACAATAACCAAGCAACTTTACAGGAACTGCACAATAATGTCACATAATAAAACTGAAAAATATTTTCAACCTGGAACGTTCTTGGGTCGAGCTTTTTAACCAGCTGCTTAATGCCCCGTTTTTCTACCAGGTAACAATATCGGTAACTTCCATCCACTATTTATTCTTCCTATCATACGGAGTACAACTGGCAAGTAGTTCAGTAATTTATTTAAAATATAAGTTGTTCATCACCAGCTGCTAACATCTCGTCCGTCATAGCCTGGTTGTACTTAACAGCCTCAAGTAGTGAAAAACATTTGTTTTCCACATTTATTTTTTTTTCTCCAATGACTGTAGAAAACTGTTTTCTGACTGTTTTCTACAGTCATTGGTTTTCCCACAATGCACATTTAGCAGAAACAGTTTTGTTTTGTTTTTTGTTTGTTATATTTTGCAAAATATTCTGCTTCTTTGGAGTTTTCTGAAGTAGATCCATTTTTAGGTATTCAAAAGCCATTGGCAGGGGGATGTGCACCTCTGACTCTCAGACATGCCTGGGCTTATTTTGTTGTTATTCATACACAGCAGCAAATGTATGGCATTGTTATAACAACAATTTCATAATATGACATTTTGATATAAATATCAAATAAAAAATACATACAAAATATAAACTGAATACTCACATTAAACACAAACAAACAAATAAACCCACCAGCTTTGTACTACAAAGTACAATGTTGGATACATTTTATATTTCAGAGACAGCACGCATAAAATAATGTTTAGGGCATCATGTTTTCTCCCATCCCGTGTATTAACCCCCGTAATTAAGTTTTTCTACACAAAACCAGGGATTTTCAACATATCAATTCTAAACATACTATTTTTCTTTAGAAAGCACCAATTATTTCTATTTGCACCTGTAGTAGAAATATTTCAGAAATCCAACTAAAATTACCAGTGTCATTATTATTAAGCCCTCTGAAAAACTGACCTTTTTTTTAAAAGAAATTGAGCCATTACACAAACCATTGCTGAGCAATGAGGTGCTTTAACTTGATGCTCAAAGCTTGTAAAAATGAAGTTAAATCTGAGGTATTTCTTCCATATTTATATGTAGTATACAAGCTTTTGCAAGTTTGTATACTATATATTAGATTAGAGCTGGGCGATAGAACGATAACGATATGTATCGCGATATAACTTTTACTCGATAGAGAAATTAAGCTATCGCGATAGACCTCGCCGCTCTTGTCCTCAAAAAAAAAAAAAAAAAAAAAAGGTCAGCCAATCCAAATTAAGTAGCGCAGAGCCGAACCAATCACAGCCGCAGCGTCACGTCGCGTGACTTGTTACGTACAGCACAAGTGCCAAGCCGCACGTGTGTTTGTTTGGGAAGCAGCCAGCGGGTAATGGAGCCAGCGCGTAATGGAGGAAATGAGTGTGCCGACTAGAAAAATCAACCGAGCGTGACCGAAGAGAAAACAGATGATGGTTCCAATGCCGGAGAGATTGTCGAACGGAAGAGCCATAGAAGTTCCGTAGTGTGAAGGTATTTCGGCTATTTCAAGTCTGACAAAAAACAGAGTAGCGTGCACTGTAAATTGTGCCGAAAGCAAGTCTGGAAATACAATAAACTGGTGCATGCGTCACACTGTGCGCCACGTTATTGTTTCGGTGAAATGAATTTCTACAATACTGTTACTGTTAATTCTACTCTCTGCAGTGTTTAAATGCTTACATATACACACAGTTACTGTCCCTCCACACATACGACTCGGTTCTGCTTCTATGCCCCAGCTTTGTTTACTTTTTCCCACCGAGGCTTCTAGACTTCTGATTGGCCAACATTTCTGCACGGTTAGGAATCTAGCGCCACCTGCTGCTTTGGCATGTTCATAGCAGCATTTTCCTTCATTTCTGCCTTTATGTGTGGACGGGATTATTTTTTAAAACGAAAACGGAAAATCTCCGTTTTCAAAAATACCCGTGTACGTGTGGACGTAGCCTCAGTCTCTGACTGGAAGCGCTAATTCGTCATTCGGCTTTTGTCAGACTAAAGTAACTGTTAAAACTGTTTGAAAAGCTCAGCTATACAACAAGGAGAGATTGAGAATTTCCTTTTAGTTCTCAGTTTATTTGATATTGACAAAAGTTAGTCAGTTTTGTCTGTTCTTCTGTAAAACAAACTAAGATTTATTTTTAGAATTAATATTTTGTTTCTAAGTGGAATTGACAATTTAGTCTGTTTTGTTTGTTCTATTTTGAAACTTAAACGCTTTAGTGGCTGCCTTTTGTGTAGTTTGCAATATTTGCCTTTATTTATCTGAAAAAGTCTCATGTTCCTTAAGTACATCTACCCTGTTGAACTTATTATGGGAAATAAATATTTAAATAAAAACAAGCTGCTGATTATTTCACATTTTACTTGTGAGCAACGGCACATTTAAATCTTACAAATATAGTTATTTGGCTTATATCGTGATAGATATCGTTATCGCCTGAAATGAAAAAAACATATCGTGATATGAAAAAATCTCATATCGCCCAGCTCTACTATATATACACAAACTTATATAGTGTGTGTGTGTGTATTATATATATATATATATATATATCTGTAAAGTTTTGCAAGGGTTTGAACTGTTACTTGAGAAGGTATCACAAAGCCTTGCGTTGCATGCAGAGAGGACAGAGTCAAATCCCTTGTTTGTGTGCACAAATAAAGATAATTCTGATTTAGCCCTGGACAAAGTCCTGACATAAATCCTACTAAAAATCTGTTGGGTGAATTTGAAGCCAAGGTCCATGCCAGAAGACCATCAAATCTAGAGGAGCTTAAGAGATTCCTCAAAGAAGAATGGGCTGGGATTTTCTTTTAGGAGACTGCAGGCTGTTATCTAGCAAAAAGGATACACAACTGGCTATTAGCATCATGGGACACTAATAATTTTGACCCTTGTAGCTTTTGGGGTTATTTTTAAATAATTTTGTTTCTGTGTGCAAAGCAAAATAATGGAAGCATCCATTATAAAACTAGCATGTTTGGATCTGTTTAAAAAAAATGTTGCTCTCTTTAACAGTACTTGGGGATTATTAAAAAACAAAACAAAAATAAACAAACAAACAATAATCTCTGTAGAACCATGTCCTTACCTCTGAGGTGACTGAATTGATGCTAGTACCATCCGACAGCCCGTTCCTGCGATACATTCTCACAGAGGGATTGAATGGATGCACAGGTAAGGGCAACTGAGGCCTTTAGCTGGGGGGCACACATAACCTGTCATCCATGCCTGCAAACAGAAGACATAAAGCAACTTTGAGTTTTTGTTTCCATCTTAACAGTATTCAAATGCCTGTATACCAGGTTGGCCAGGTCCACCACTGGCCTGCTCTACTACCCACACAAGACACAAGCAACAGTGGCTCACAGACCAGTGGTGGCACATACTTTGTACACTGCCTCAATCTGGCAGAGTTCACTGCAGGCAAACGGGCAGGCCCTTGAGTAGAGCGAAAAGTGAACACACTCTCTGCTTGACCATAAAACCAATAAGACCCTGTGTCAGCATGACCGCTTTGCCAGTGGATAAGTGATGGTCTGGCTTCCCTCCATGGTTATGCCTTCGCATAACCATGGAGGGACACAGACCACTACATATTAGACAAAAGCACCCTGGCTGCCATTAGGAGCATGAAATCCTCAGACTGACCACAAACACTTTGACTTTTGAACTTTAACTCTCATGGCGTCTTTGAATTCACCCCTCTGTAGATCGATCAAACAATGTGGCATCCTTTCATTCCTTACATGACCCAATCCATAGGAGTATAGATATCGAGCATAATTTCTTCCCCATTGAGATCTGGTGTTCTTTCAAAAGTTTTCCCCCACACCATTACTTATTACTTATTACTATGCATTTGTTTGGCGTTTAACAACATTTCTTTACCTCTACACCATAGCAACAGCTCAGAAGTCATTTGTGTTCTTTTTAGAAAATAAAATATTTGCCCCGCAAGAATTCTAAGAACCACACACGCACATATACAATAAATGGACAACCCATTCTTCTACTCTGCTGACTGATGCATTCTACTCAGGTAACACCGCTCTGTGAAGAGGGCTAATCTATCTCTGTAGCTGCATGGTAATCAAAGTTTAAATCAAGGCTAGACTGAAACATTTGGACATTTAGACGTACAAGTTGTATGAAAGGGAACCTTTCCCTATTTCTGATACAATACTTTATGAGGGTCCTAAAACCAAACTTCTTTTTAGTTCATGAAGACATTTCACCACTTACGGTATGAGTTTGTCCTAAATCTACACTGTTTAGCCCTTGTGATGAGCCAGTTTTTGTCAAAGGGTGTTGATGAGTCTGAAGTGCACTGGGATGTTACGTTTGGAGAATATTATTCTGACAATGTTCTGTCATTCTGTTTCTCCTTGGCCAGCATCTGAAATTTTTGCCATAGATTTTTGCTGGATTAATGAAGGTCCAGTTAAGATAATCACGTTTTAAATGATTTCGCCATGTTTGCATATTCCTTTTCTTTCCCTTCTACATTAGAGGAAATATTCTCTGCCCCGTATGGTGCTGAGCTACCTGAAGGACATCACAGACCCAAGTCTGGATCTCCCGTAGTTTGCATAATGGGCAAATAGTAAAGTAAAATGTTATTTATATAGCACCTTTCAAGATAAAAATCACAAAGTGCTTCACAGAAGCCAAAACATAAAAATCAAAATCAACCAAAAGCAAGTTTAAAAAGATGAGTTTTTAGCTGTTTTTTTTAAAAGCGACCACTGAGTCCACAGATCTCAGCTCAAAGGGAGAGAGTTCCACAGTCTGAGGGCCACAGTAGGGCTGCTCGATTATGGCAAAAATGATAATCACGATTATTTTCACTGAAATTGAGATCACGATTATTTGACGATATTTATTTAACCCTTTAAGACCTACTATAGAACCAAGTCCACCAGAGCTTATATTATTTTTTTACATGTTGTAGTGCCATTTGTGGGAGCATTTCAAGTTGCTATACATCAATACAACTGTTATAGCCCATATTTTAATAATATGTATGCATTAAGTCCATAGTAATTACATAAATTGCAAAAAAGTGCAATAAACTACAAAAAAAAATTGAAAATCGCTTTTGTTTTGTTTACATATATTTCTACTTGGAGAAATTTAAGAGGTTTATCCCTCAAAACTTTAAATACAATAAAGTTGCAAAAAATAGTTTACAACAACAGGAAATTTATTTTGAGTGTCTTCATAGTTTTATTTTGGAGATACAGCAATTTTTATATACTGCAGGAAAAACAAAAAACAATCCTATGATGCAAATTTGCAAAGAAAACAGCATGTGCATCATTTCACTGTGGGAAGTGTTACGAACAGCTGATAGGAACGGCAAAGCGTGTTTCTGGAATATTATGTTTTTGTTCCTGCAAGCGCTTTTTATGCAATTTTTGCAAAGCTATATGTGGAACGAAACCGTGACCGAGGACAAGCTGATGGCATAAGATGTAAGTACAACTCCTCCGGTTTCATATGCAAAACAAATTATTGCGCTAGCTTACACGGTTCAGGTTCTACAGGGATTTAAAAATAGTTACGCAAAACGGAGCGTGCTGCTCTGACCGGCTTTAAAGGGTTAACAATGACTTTAAAAAATAATATAAAATAGTGTGCAACACCACTGAAGTTTTTTTTTTTTTTTAAACTATTTTT